CCAGCGTTCAGCGTTTCATGAAATGCCTAGGCTTTTCACGAAAAGACGGATTTCACTATATAAGACTACAACTATAAATTGGATCCTCAAATGTGAGTTAATTTCTATCATTACACCTAGTATACTAGCTTATTTTTTATTGCTGTTGTCGGTTTAAAAATATTTAAATGCAAGTATCCTCTGTTTCTTCAATTTATTATTTCATTCAAACAACAAAAAAACAAAGTTAGTGAGATTTTGCATTAGGTGTATTTTTCGAGGATCTACCGGACTGAATCCTCTTCGCCCCAGCTGTCAATTTAGGTCGAATTTTACGTCTGGACATGGATATCGCCCAGACAACACACCAAATACCAAGGATATCCACAGAATATCTTTTGTGGATATCCAATATATCCACAGGATATTAGAAATATTCTGTGGATCTAATATGGATATCCAAATGTCCCGTCTATATCCAGAATATAGAAGATATTCTATGGATATTCAGCAAAATATCTAATGAGTATTTTCCAGACAATACAAGAAATCCCAGAGATATCCACAGAATATATTTTGTGGATATCCAATATGGATATAGAATTCAGATATTCAGCAAAATATTTTATAGGTATCTTTAGTAGAGGTTCATAAGTAACCAATGATTATTGAATAACGTCGAAAGAAAATAGAGATAAAAAATATTTCCAACAATCTGCCTTTAATTTTGCCCACTATAAGGGCACTGATAAGAAAGTCATCCTTATTAGGACTCTTCAGCAATAAATAGGAAATACTCGACTCCAGTCTCTAATAGAGTCTGATTCTAAAAAAAATTCGATCGAACTCATTTACGGCGGGTTGAGCATGAGTAGATACGAAAGTGGTATCGCCATCTATATTTAGGAAGCAAAATCAAAAATTACATCTAGTAGATACCCACGATGGTTTGCGTCCGCTTTTAGACTTTGATATATTTATAGTGGATGTCCATGGGATATTGAATACACCTTAAAAAAATTAATTTTAAATATCTGAACGGTACTATTAGCCACAATGGAGTAATTTTTTAATAATTTGCTATATAATTACTATTATTTATGGACATTTGCATGTCTATAAATTACATTTCATGGATATAAAATAGATATCTACCATGGACTGGACATTCAGTGGATATTGGGATGTTCAGTAGATATCCAAAGGATTTGGTGTGCTGTCTGGGCGGCTATACTACAATTTATTGTCCACGGTTGTAATAATCTTTTTTTCTTGATTTGTATTTGGCAAAAGTATGATTGGACTTGTGTAGCAGTTGTTAATTGACCAAGCGTAAGATTTATTTTATGCTTTGCTTTGGTCAAGTCGGTATTTGGAGTTTTAATGCAATTTCTAAAATTAGATATTAAAATAGGTAGTCGATTTCCGTATATGTAGTGGATCAAACGTAGTGAATAGTATTTCTTGGGTTTTGACTATTCTTCGATATTCATTTGTACATTTTTATGTTCGATATTAAGCAAAAGTATCACCAATAGTGTTCCCAGACAGCACACCAAATCCTTTGGATATCTACTGAATATCCCAATATCCACTGAATGTCCAGTCCATGGTGGATATCTATTTTATATCCATGAAATGTAATTTATAGACATGCAAATGTCCATAAATAATTGTAATTATATAGCAAATTATTAAAAAATTACGCCATTGTACTCGCCATTGTGGCTAATAGTACCGTTGAGATATTTAAAATTAATTTTTTTAAGGTGTATTCAATATCCCATGGACATCCACTATAAATATAAATATATCAAAGTCTAAGCGCGGACGCAAACCATCGTGGATATCTACTAGATGTAATTTTTGATTTTGCTTCCTAAGTATAGATGGCGATACCACTTTCGTATCTACTCATGCTTAACCCGCCGTAATTGAGTTTGATCGACATTGTTTTACAAACAGACTTCATTAGAGACTGAAGTCGAGAAGTTCCATTTATTGCTGAAGATTCCTAATAAGGATGATTTTCTCCTTAGTAGGCAAAATCAAAGGCAGATTGTTGGGAATATTTTTTACCTCTATTTTCTTTCGACGTTATTCAATAACCATTGGTTACTTATGAACCTCTACTAAAAATAATTATAAAATAATATTTATCTGAATTTCTATATCCTGGGATATAGACGGACATTTGGTTGGATATCCACAAAATATATTCTATGGATATATCTGGGATTTCTTGTATTGTCTGGAGATACTCATTAGATATTTTGCTGAATATCCATAGGATATCTTCTATATTCTGGATATAGACGGACATTTGGATATCCATATTAGTTCCACGGAATATTTCTGATATCCTGTGGATATATTGGATATCCACAAAATATATTCTGTGGATATCTCTGGGACTTGGTGTGTTGTCTGGGTTAGTTATTGTTGATACATCCATATCCAAGGAAATTCACAGATGCCAAATCCAATTGAATCAGTACAAAGGCAAAGTGTTGAGCACCAACGAAAAAACGCTCTTGGATCGCACATAAGTGTTTACAAAAACAACCTCTTTGACCAAATAGGCAATCGCATATTGCACTATTGCGTCGGGTTACTGCCAAAACAAGACAAGTTATATTTTTATAGTTTTGAGTTATTAATTTTTAAAGCTTTAACATTTGAGGAAAAATCAGGTATAAAAGAAAAACTCCGTTTTTACTTAGTAACTGAATTTTAATACAATTGGATATTAAACAGTAGAAACATTTATCATAAAACTTAAAAACTACCAAAGTATTCAGCAGAAAAAACTTTTCTGTGCACTTATTCTTTTGGATGTATAAGTATCTGTTTTGTTTTTTTTTTTCATTTATCTTGCTCTTTTAAAGAATCGTTGTTGCTGGCTCTGGAACTAAATCGTTTACCTCGTTAGAGATAGGCAAGGATTTGTAATATTGATGGTATTCTACAGAGAACATCACTTTTACACAATTTCAGTAGGTCTTATTTTTTCTTAACTGAAATAGGAATACATCTTTTGTACGCTTTTGTGATTTTAATTTCATTTGCATTTAGAGGACGTCCTTTACCCAAAACATGTATTTTCTTAAACACAAAGTAAAATTGAAATCATTTTTAAACCTAACGTAAATGCACTTGTCTTGTTTTAGCTGCCAATACAATTCTTGTAATGCACTTATGTGCCCATGCGTATCAACGTAACCGCGTTTAATACAATTATCTGGTTCTGTCAGTACATAGTTTCAACAGTTTTAATGTTAGACATGCTCTTAACTCAAAAATTAAAAATGTACTTTTCTTGTTTTGGCAGTAAGCAGTAACCCGACGTATTGCAAAATTTCGTTAACATACTCAGCACTTTCCTAAATTTTGGGTTAATTTTACGTATAAATGCGCGTTAAAATGGAGTTCAACATTATAAATTGTAGTTTTCCATAAAATATTGTCCATTGAATTTAATAATACCCGCGAACCTTTATTCTTTATACCATGCCGTGTACCTACTATAGTTTTTCTATGCCTACTATAGTTACTTATTTTTCCAGGTTGGCTGTAATGCGATTAATTTATGGTATAGCAACAAGAATAGGATTTGGAGAACAAATATCCGAAGCAATGAATGGAGTTTTTGTCCCCCCAGGAGCAGACTATGACTATGATGGTACAGGCGATGATGATTACTTTGAATTTTAAAAAATTACCTTTAGAAGATCTGATTGCTGTCATATTATTCCGAGATTTATCATTTACAAGTCATTAATCAAATGCCATTAAAGGAGTAGTGAAAATTCAATTATTTACGTTAATACAGGATTTTTATTAATCAAGAACTTGTGAATTTTCTTATACTGACTTTTATCGAAAAAGAAACATAATTTGAAGTGAACATGAACTAAACAGAGAGAGAAAAATGAAGGTTATCCACGCCAAGATGACGATTAATGATAGCAGCTTGCGCCACATCAAAAGTTACAATTTATCCAATAATTTATTAAATCCGAAAGTTAGTCTTTTAAATTGTGATATGCAAATGGAGATAATTAGAGTGAAACACACTTTTGTTTAAAAAATAGCCATAATGTAAAATTTGGGAACGGGAGATCCTGTGTTAAAAGTGTTGTCGCGGTAGCTTGTATCGATCTCTCTTTCCCAAATTGTACCTAAATTGTAAGATTGAGAATAAAAAGTCAAAATCGTATTTTTTGCTTTCTTGTAAAATTATTTCTGGGAGGATAGTTATTTATTATTTAATGGAAAAAGTATTAGATTTTAAAAATCTAAATATTTTTACCAGTGTATATACACTATTTTTTCTGTAACGGGAAAAGGGATTTAATATTGAAAATAGCTATTTGTGTATTAAGAGCGAAAAGTGATGATTTGCCGCTTGAGATAGATAGTTGCAACATGTCGAAAACTGCAACGAACTTTTTGCTCAAAATGCACATAAGATTTTTCAATCAATTTCATAACAAAACTTTTTTTCGAGATGAAGTTTTATGAAATAAAGTAAGGGTTGCTAATTTCACCCCCCTATAATGTAACAGGAATATTGAAAAAATACCCGTGGTTAGTCCTTTGCCAGTACACGAAAATAAAAAAAATTTAAGTTTCTAGCTTTACTGAAATGTTAGAAAAAAAAAATAAAAACTCAATTTTAGTCACCACCTTTTAAGGGTGATATCTCGGAAAGGGATGGACTGAAGAAATTTTGTTATGGGAAAGACCCATTTTAATTTCATAGGAGCAATCACCTCCTGAATTTTGTCGCATGGATTTAGAAACACCCTGTATCTAGGAAAAAAGTGACATTTTGTTACCTGTCAAGAGATAAAATGGTAAAACTTTTTTCCCGTCACAGAATTAATACCTCAACTTAAAGCCATTAATTTTGTATTTGTAATAATTATAGTGCCAAATGTAATTTAAGTAATTTATTAAATAAAAAAAATACCTATGTTTGTTATCTTATATTTTTTATCAAAAAATTATAAAACAAATGTCTATTTTACCTTACATCTTATAAAGATGAAATATCTTTACTCTTAATTTTGTCAATTGAAAACAAGAATGAGTTGAGATGACTGTAATCTGCAAGATTTTCAAATAAACTGAATCAACTCACTATATACCTACCGTTTGAAAGACATGCATTGTATAAAAATAAGGTAACATAAAAAATAATGTATATAATCATATCCTCAGGTTATTTTAACAAAGTAATACATTTTTATTTTATGATAATTTTTTCAACAAAGGAATAACCTAACTAACAATTTAAGAAGCATTTCACATTTCATTCAGATTCTAAAAATACCCTAAATCCAGTTGCATACATAAGTGCACTAAACAACAAAAATGAACATCTTAAAGGATCCCTTGTAAAAAACTTCTTACAAATTTACCATCCATACAACCTATTTTATATATAAATTAGATATGCGTCCATAAAGATTTTTTTGAACCACTACATAAGTTACTAAGATATTTTAGAATTCATATGTCCATTGCTTTGATTATTTTGGTTACTGTTATTTTGTTCCATATTACCATTTGGAACAGGCGTAGTCAATAACCTGCTCCTTCTTCTAGTATAATGTTGCCATAATAAAATCTGTTGATCGTCTATAAATTTGGAACACTGAGCATTTACTAATTCTCTTCTAAAATGTTCATACTGGAGTAAATCCAAAAAGTACAAGCACATAGGATACTTTAAATATTTTGCATATTCAGGTTCTTTCCAATAGAGAAGATATTTTAAATAATTAATGAACGTGCCGTCTTTAAAATAGCCTCTTTGAGCTAAAACTAAAACATTTTCATTAAAGGTAATTTAATTATTAGGAGGAAATAAAATGCACACTTACAATTTAAATAATTCGGATTTCCTAAGCATTGCACAAATTCTAGTTCTACTTGAAAACGATATTTCTGCTGTTCGTCCGTTTCTGGTACACCTGCAACATAATTCCAACCTTTTGAGGGATTATTTAATTAAAATTCTTAAAAATGCTAACAAACCTTTTCCTCCCAAAACAGCCATTTTTGTATTGACACTTTTTTTAGGTTGAAGTTGACATATATGTCAAAATAGAAATCTTCTTTTTTCTAACTGCGACTGAATTAGTCAAAAGTCAAACATAAGGTTTCTCTACCGTGACCGTGACCGAGGCACTTGATTTGTGGTCTGTACCTATTTAGGTAGTGCCATCATAAATTATAATAGGAAACAGGTTTTTTTTTAGAAGAGCGCCCTTTTTACTATTTGCATTTTACAACAAGAGAATAAAGAATAAACTGTCTCTGCCACCGACAAAGCTAACTCTCATCTGTATTTGTAACGTACCGTGTAAAGCAGTGTTACTTTACAACAATTTTTACAGGTTTTGTAACAGGCCCTGAACCCAAGTCTATACTATTACAACATCCACCAACAAAAATAAATATTTCAAGCATCACATTTTTATTTTCATTTCAGGCATTCCTCTGCTCCCCCTGAGGGGTTCCGGGCAGATCCTTCTAATCAGGCTTGTTCAGGGCTTCCTTCAATCTGGCTTGGGGTCCAGCTTGCTTTCCCTCTTCTTGGGATTCGCATGGTGGTACTGAAGCGCAGTTGGCTTATTGTGCCTACCATTTTGATGCCCTTCCCATGCGTTCAGTTCATACATTCTTCTATTCAAACTACGGTCCAAGTGGTCGCACCCACTCAAGCCGTAGAGGACAGTAAATGTACTAAATATACCTGGTATATCGTAATTTATGCCAAACAAGTATAATATCCATCAACAGATATAAAGTGGGTCCCTTGACGCTTCCCTGTGGTACTCCTGCTTTCATTTCTTTCAATTCAGAGTATGCTTCATCTTTTTTTACTCTAAAGAATCTATCTGAAATATATCAATCCAGTGCTCTGAGTATGGTTGTGAAAATAAGTAGCACATTCAGTTTGTTTTATGCCATACTTTATCAAAAGCAACGTCGAGGAAGATGCCTGAACAGACTTCTTTATTTTCTAATGCCTTTTCAATCGCATTATTTGAGATTCTATGCTTTTCTCTAAAGCCGAACTGATAATCTGGAATTAGTTTCCCGTTTTATTCAATGCTGGGTTTCAGTCTTTTTATTAGTATTTTTTCAAACAGTTTAGATAACATAGACAATAAAGATATTGGCCTATATGATGAAACTTCTTTTGGAGGTTTCCCTGATTTGGGGACCATAATAACTTCAGCTACTTTCCACAATCTAGGTAAATACCTTAGTTTGAATGAGGCATTAAACAAATGTGTAAGTTTAATTATGGTTTTCTTCGGCAGTTATTTTAAAACCTGCTCTGTAATTAAATCAAAGCTTTCTTAGGATCAATATTTCCTTCGATATATTTTGGAGAGGTTGGTCTGATGATTGAGTCCTCTCTCTGTAAGATCCTGGTTCGGTAAATATTCTCCTTCATTTGGTTGGAAGGTATTTTGGAAGTGCTCTGCCAATCTATTAATTTTTTGTATGTTATTTCTAGCGCAGCTGTCATCTGTATTCCTGTTTGGAGGATTCTGCATAGTGAGCCTTTTCAATCGCTTTGTGGCTTTCCATAGATTATAATTAATGGCTTTATCGTTTGTCAACTAACTCTTTATAACTGCTGGGAAGCGTTGTTAAAGTTGGTTTTATCTGACAAAGCTCTGATCTGATGCCATGTCCTCCTTAGTTTTCCTTTTGCAGAGATTATGTCCTTTATTTCATTAGGATAGTTATTTCCTGTTGTTCGCTGAGCAACAGGTGGGGTATTATCCCATAGTGCTTGTTGTATGTTCTACTTCTTCTTCTAGCTGTGCTGTTGTTCTTAACGGAACTCCTGAAGCTTTACCTATTTATTAGTCTAAGAGCGTTTTCCTTTTGGATAATGATGTCACTAAGATTGAGAAGAATGAGCGAATGATCTGAATTCATGTCCCATGCCTCATCAACTTGAATGTAGTTTGCTAAAATATTCCATACAACAAAAAAAGTCTATTTAGTCGGATATTTTATTTCGATCTGTGGGCCAATTTGGTTTGCCAGTTGATGCAACTCACATTTTAGCTGTCACTACTTCTTTTAGGTTTTTGCCCTTAATTGTTCTTAGTCTGGAGCCTCAATGGGTGTGTTTTGCATTGAAGTCGCCTTCAATTAAAAATCTAGGTCCTTGACCATTGAGGAAGTTCTTTTTTAACGGTATGTCTTGAGGACAACATAAGTTTTATGTCTTATCATTACTGAAGTAGTCTGAAATTCTTCAGTCCTATATTCCGCTTCTTGATGATGCTTACTTAATTATTACTGCGCTACCTGCTCTTGCTTCATTCGGGGATGAATAATATGACAAACTTTTATCCTTTAAATTTAGTAAACATATTTAACAAGTAATAAAAATTAAAAATTAAAAAAAAACCGACTTCAAAATCGTGCAGATGTCATCACCACATCTTAACCAAATTTATATGGGACCACCCCTTACTAACAAAAAAAGAATCCTAGAAATCGGACAAGGTGGTAAAGAATTATCGCTAAACATACATAAAAATGAAGATTTTGAGGATTTTCTCATGGACGCAATTATTAGATTTTAACCAAATTTACGTGGAACCACCCCTGAAGTACCTCATTTGTAACAAAAAAAGAATCAATGAAATCGGACACCGTTTTAAAGAATTATCGCTGAACATACATTAAAAAAATATATGCCGACGAATTGAGAACCTCCTCCTTTTTTGAAGTCGGTTAAAAACAAAATACAAATAGCTCTTCCACAAAATAGCTATGGTACCAGAGGGAAACACATCCCACATTACTAAAACGTTTGATATAAATACGGGTGTGCTACAAGGCGAGCCTACAAGTCCACTACTTTTTGCATTATTTATAGCAGACGTAGAATCTTTTTTCTACAAAAAGGGTGCTTATAGTGTTAACAATGACGATAAAAATGATATTTTGACATTACGCTGACGATCTAGTTCTGTGTGCACATTCCGAGGTAGATATATCCAAGAAACTTTCAAATATTGGAACAATACACATTGAAAAAATACTTGTTTTATTTCCAATATTTTTTTGATATGTGTCCTGTATGTAAGTCGCTGGTGTGAGGAAAATTGGGTCCTTCTTGTATAAATAACTTGAGAGTTTTAGTAGAAAACGATGTGTTTTTATTGATTACACATGAGGTACAAAGAATGTTGAACATAGAACTTCTTAACTAATACGTACACAACTAATTTGATCGTTGCCAATTTGAATTTATGAAGAGATTTAATATTAACGCGTGTCTCCACTGTCTCGTTCCGAAAGCTTGTATATTTCTTTCCTCTGACTCTTATCACTAGTTGTACTAGACGATCTCGTTTTATATTATCTCGACTCTAGACCGAATTGAGTGTCCGGTGCATAGTTGACGCAATAGATCTTTTGTACCGTAGTGGGAGGTTGTTCTGGCAAATGAGGTGTTGCATGACTTAATAAATACGTCACTTGGGGTGTGTTACCTATGCACTAGACACTCAAAAGGTCCCTTGCTTTAGAGAAAGAGAGAGTGAAAGTGGATGAGACTTAATTGCGCTAAGAGAGATAGACTATAAAAAACGTGTTTGTCAAGTATTCACGGATGGTTGGAAATGTTTTAACGAAACTGGGCCGTATTTGCACATGCAGGTGGTTATTTTCCTTTATTTTAAAAAGTTATTTGTGATTTGTCTTAACATTAAGCTTAAAAAAATATTTGATGATTATGTAGTTTAATAAACGTAGAAGAGAAATATTAATTTATTGATATGTTTCTGGTAAATTTATAGAATTTAACCACCCATCATTGAATTATTTAACAGTTAATACCCCCAAAACAAAAATTATGCAATGTTCGAAGGGTGGAATCCACAAGCCAACATATTCCTTCTATTTTAACGAGTTGATTCGTCAGAAACCACCTTTTCTTCTAAGAGATGTTAAACGGAATTTTACTTCCTAAGGAAGTAATGTCAGAAGAAACTTTAGTTTCCAAGGAGGAGATTTCATTTTTAACAGAAGATATTTCGGTTTTTATATCGGAAGAAATTATAGAAGACGCATCATCCGAAAATAAAAACGTTTCCGGATTCAAACTTTCGTTTTTCATTGCTTCTTTAAGCCGTTCTGCCAGCTATGCTTTCTTCCCTGTCGTTTCCAACTCGCGATCTTCTAGTTCCAGGCGTAACTCGGTTACTTTTTACAGTTTTTTAGCCATTTTTGTCCATTATTTATTTACAGTTTCACTTCTAATACCAATCTACTGATTCTTTAATTTAAAAATAGTTCCTTTATAATTTGTTTTTAACGTACAAAGGGGCCTATTCTGTAAAAATTCCTTTATATTTAACGGCCTTTAAAAATATTGGCAGCCTTTAAAAATATGTTCGTATTCGTTAATTTATTCTGTCATTATTTAAACAGATTTCTTTTAGATAGTCCTCTAATGTATTTTAAAGATCCGTTTAAATAGTGATCGAATTAAAGAAGAAAATATTTTTAAAGGCCATTAAAATATAAAGGAATTTTTACAGAATAGACCCCTATGGGGGCTATTCTGTAACAATTCCTTTAAATTTAACGGCCTTTAAAAATATTGGCGGCCTTTAAAAGCATTTTCGTATTCGTTAATTTACTTCTGTCATTTTTAAACAGATTTCTTTAAGATAGTCCTCTAATGTTTTTTAAAAATCCGTTTAAATAATGACAGAAGTAAAGAAAAAAATATTTTTAAAGGCCGTTAAATATAAAGGAATTGTTGCAGAATAGACCCCTATTTAATTTATTTAATACTTAGGCACAGTTCTAATTTATTACAATTTATCTTTACTATAAAACATTTATATTGAAACTTAACTTCTACCGACAAAGTCGCGGTATATAAAACCAGCTCTGCTCTAGTACATTCTCGACGGTCTGCACTCTCTAGAAATTCTCCTCAGAGTCAGACGGCGGTATCGGCTTTGTAACGGCGAGAGAATCAGGGTCGGCTTTAGGTGGTTGCATATTTATTTATTTAGTACACCATTCAACAGTTAAAAACCAATTACATAAACATAAATTAAAAACAAATACAATATACTAATGATATACATCACAAACGAGTTAAGAACATCAGATATGACTGAACATGAAACAAATAAGAAGTACAATAAAGCCTATTTTTAAGAAAAACTGAAGGTAAAATATTCAGTTATATTTAAGTTCTTAAAGGAGCATAAAACAAATTTAAAAAAATTATATTAAAATAAATACACACAAAAGATATATTATCAAATTAACAACTTACCAAGCAGGATAAACACCTACTCAGTTTCTATGGTAATAGCTCTAAAAATATCTATTTTCTTACAACTAAAAATATCCAAACTGTCTTGAAGGCGATGATAATTATTGATCATTTGAAAAATTGGAGAACCGTTCAAAATATTTGTATTTGCAGCTGGCAAGTAAAAGCTTAAGTATATTCTAAAGCCAGAGCGGGGTACTTTAATGTTGATATAATCCTGAAACTCAATGCAGTTTAGCCCTTCATGTAAAATATCCCATAGGAATGAAACTAACTGCATTTTACGGCGTATGTGCAGTTCCATTAAACCAAAGCTCGACAACAGTTGATCATGAGGAAATCCTCTAGCAGGATAGATAGTCTAGAAAATATGATGCGGATTTCATACATTTTCTTTGCACATTATCATTTTTGGCTTTAATCTTTTTATAGTGTCTACCACTTCTTTATCAGATACATGATTTATAGATAAAATAGGTAAATTAACAGAAGTGATTGAACAGATGCGATAGTACGTGTTGGTAATGTAAAATTGTTTGAAAAATGCTCTACAAATATCTAATGGATTATCCAATACATCATTATTAATTTGTACTAAAGACAGAAAGGTTGAGGAGATATTATTAAAGACCATTCCAAGTCCCATCATTTCTTAGTTATCAATTGCTGAAATAACTGATTTTTTGAAATTGTTACAGTTTCAACACTTGTAGTTTTTTTAACTATCGTGGTGCTTAGAAATACAAAAATATAAAATTTATTTTATATGTATACATAATTTCAGAAATGCAACTTAAATAGGTAGGATACAAGTGATCAAAATATAGGGTGGTTCATTGTTGAACAATTGACTTTACTGAGTAAATTTAAATAAATTATTGTGATTTTAGCCCTTAAACACCTCAATTAACTACATTTAAAACTTGTTCTATATAAAATAAAACGAATATAAACAATGTACAAGCTTTATTTAGAAATGGCACCATACATAACTGACTGTATATTATTATAACATACATATACATAAATGGAATAACTCGTGTCAAATATAATAACAAGTTAAAAAATACCTTAAAAAATAATGGAATCAAAATATCAGACTAGGAAAATGTACACAACTTATATAAATTATAAATATTCCGACAAGATCACACTATCTCACCATAAATCTCGATAAAAACACAAATTTCTTCTTTACATTATCTTTGGCATGACTATACAAACAAAAAAAAAAACAAAAATATCTCCTATAGCATTTTCAAAATAAATTTATTTATACAAATATGTATAGGCTTCATCGTTTAATTAATCACAATTATATTTTTTTTTTTTAACTTATTGGGGATAAAGTAGATCTTCAAAATGGCTAAATACTAAAACCTTAGCTTAATCAATCCTAATTGAAAATATAACCCCACGTTTCTGGCACATATAAAAATATAACTAATAAATTTAACAAACGCAAGGAACTAATAGAGTTTTTACAAATTAAGACTTCGTCGACTCTAATGCTGGATTCTGTTAAAAATTATATTTTTAAATAAAAACTGGGAACAGTTTTTCCTTATTTATAAAATCAATATCTAAAAAACATTTCTAATGAATCAAGAAGTAAATCATTCCTTTAAAGTTATGAGAGTCGTGTCAGGCCTTATTTATCACAATATTTAATCAATTATGTTAAATTTTATAGGGGATCTGCAGGACGAGACATTTTGAAAATTGGCAGCCAAAATGGTTGAAATAGTCTGGGATTTTTAATTCTAGATTCTACAAATGCTGAAGTAATAAATTAAAATAATTCTAAGATATTTAAAGGAATTTTTTTTGTTTTTTTTATATATTTTTGCTAATGTCACATGCTTTGCAATAGCAGTACAATCGTAAGTGCCCTTCCAGACTTTTGATTCCAGATATAGATAAATACTGTTTTTTATCATTTCAAATTAGCTAAAATACCTTCCCCAAATTCGTCATCATCTCTTGGACTATGACGTAAATGATGTTGTTTTACCTTATGTGATTTACTTCTATTAATCTATCTATTGATCTTATTCCTGATAGGAAAAGTTTTCGAACGAAAAAGATTTTTGAGCCTGTGGACCAGACATAATACCAAATTTTCAGTAATTCCATTTAATGTTATTAACGTAATGCCTTAATCTTATGTTTCCCTTGGAAACTTAGAGAAATTATAAACTCTTAAACAAAATTTTGTACGTTTTTAAAAACTACAATAATTGAAAAGTAATTACTTTCTAATTAAGATTAGGTCTATTTTATAATGTGGATAACTGTATAACTTTTAGGAACCAATTTACTTATTCATTCATTTATATTATGACCTACAGTAGGTAAGTAAACATTCTTATGATGACATTGTTTATACACTGGTACCATAGTAGAGTTAATGGCAATGATTCGATAATAATTTAATTTTTCCTGTAGACAAAAGTTTCCTTTCTATTAAATTCATTACTGAACCTATTAATAAAAACCTATTTCAAACTGGTAAAACCTCACCGAGTATAATTTAACCATCGTAATTTATCTTATCAGAATATTTTTGCCATGAGTTTTTTTTTTAAATATACTTGCGTAAAGTGCACATTTCCTTCAAAATTATATTCTGAATATTTATGTATTCATAAAAATGTCAATGACTATTTGATACTTCTCATTTTCAAAGATATAGAGAAAGCTTTTGTGTAATCAAATGACCATTAACTCGATTAATAAGAGAATCCAGCATATTATTTATAAAACTCTATCATAAAATAAAATTTCAAAACTAAACAACGAACTGATTTATGTTAAAATTGGTCGATTAATTCAGTTTCCAACAGCAAACGCGTTTTAGAATTTGTAAAATAAATGTTTAAATCATTAAAATTCGTTTATTTTAATATTGTTCAATAATTTACTTTGTAATATACGTGCTTGTAATTTAAAAGTAATGTTTAGATTTTGTAAAACAAATTTACAATAGAAAATTTGTAGGCATTGATAAATAATGTTTTCAGATTTTCTGCTAAGTAGTTTTAAAGATTTTCCCGCGGTTGGAAACTGAAAGACCAAAATAAAAATCAACAATTGAACTATTTATTCGATTTACTGTCTCTAACCTTTTGTTACTGTATCGCGCACATTTGTTTTCTTAAGTCAGACTCATTTTCATCCAGGTCTTCGATAGGCACTTGCTTACCATTGGGAATTACCTATAATAAAGAAATATATTAACAAATAGTACATTAGAAGTTGTCCGATTTCGATTAAATCCATTGTTTTATTTTTATTTATCTATTTTTTTTATTGGTGTATTCGACTTCCACAACTTAGGTAATTAGCCTCCTGTTATATGAACTTTTAAAAGCAAACAAATAAACACCAAAACTTAATGTCAAATATGAGGTAATTTGTTATTAAATTATAAATATCAATAAAAATCATTAATAATGAATATAAATATTTAAAATATCAAAAAAGTCTATTTCTTGCAGCTTTTACAAAGCTATTGAAAGACATACTCACAATATCCAAATTTAATGAATTTGCACTTCTGTAGCATTTTTATTAGAGGGCTAAATAAGCCATAAACAGTTGTGTAAAATGGAATGAAGAATATATCATTTTGCAAGTATCTTACTGGTACTCTAAATTAAATGGAATCTAAAAGTTCGGAACAATGAATAGATCCTGAAATTAATTTACACAAAACCAATAAATCTACATCTTCGAGAACTTCTAGAGATTCAAGATTCATTAAGTTTAATTAACCATAATCATAGTAGCTAAATAGTAAATCTAATCTGAGAAATTTGTGTTGAACACACTTAATATGCACATTATAAAATGGAGACCAAACTGGCAACACATATTCCAATGATGACCTAAGATAAGCTGACTAAATTGTTTAATGAAATTCAATTCTTGTTCCTTAAGATAAAATCAACAGTTTTTATTGAATGAGTTGTATAGAATAAACGATAGATGCTGATCTAAGAGCAGTCCTAAAAATTTTATCTCATTTACACGTTTAAGACTTAAATCCGTAATTGAGTAATCAAATACAATCTTGTCATGTCCTCTACCAAAAGTAATTGTGTAAAACTTGTTGATATTAAGTGACATACAGTTCTTCACAGTTCAATCATGCAGTTCTTTAATATCACTTTGTAAAAGGTAACAATCATTGACACTATTAATAGGCCTTACATCTTTAGGTTATCAGCAAAAGGTATAAAATTACTATACTGAAAAATATCTTCAATATCATCAAATATTATCCCCATTTTAAAATCTGGGAAAAACCCCAAAAATATAGAAAGCAATCTCGCTGCTAAACACAATTGCAAAAATAGTAGACAGACTCAAAAATATAGAAGACAGACTAAGACTTATCCCGCAGGAACAATATGGCTTTCGAAGGGGACATAGCACCGTTGCACAAATAATAAGAATCATTCATCATGCCAAAGAGACCACAAATTTTAACAAACAAACGGTGCTGGTCGCTCTTGATTTCGAAAAGGCCTTCGACTCTGTTTGGACCTGCGGGCTAATTCACAAAATGTTTGTGAATGATTTTCCCATACACATTGTAAAGATAATTCACTCTTACATAATGGACAGACAATTTAACATTAAAATTAATAACACAATAACAGAACCATTCACTGCGCAAGCGGGAGTGCCTCAGGGCCCAGTACTTTCGCGGCATTTGTACACCATTATGACCCATGACATGCCAATGGGTAATAATGGGGTGCAAACGGCACTGTACGCCGACGACATGTGTCTGTATAAAAGTAATCATTCAGTCGAAAGTGTCCTCAAGACACTGGACATCCATATAAACAGGAAACTAGTCCCCTATCTAGTCAAAAACAAAATTAAAATCGACCCCTCGAAAACCGAGAGCATGCTCATAACCAAACGTAGGTCAAGAGGGGTCCACATACCCCCAAATGTAGAAGGTCAACAGGTAGACACGACAAATAAAATGAAGTACCTTGGTTTTCAACTAGATGGGGTACTAACGTTCAATTTGCATACCAAAGACAGGGTGGCAAAAAATTACATAGCAATTAAAACTTTGTATCCGATCCTGAACAGAAGGAGTAAAGTCACCATGTCAAATAAGCTCTTAATTTTTAAGACCATATTAAGACCTATACTAACATATGGACGATGGCAAATTGTCACTACAGCAAACTACAGATTGCACAAAATAGATGTCTTCGGTTAGCGCTGTGCTACGACCGTTATGCCAGAATCGAAGACATGCACATACAAACAGAGACTCCACGAATTAAAGACTACATACTAAAAACAGCCGAGGATTTCTACATGCGGTGTCTCCCTGACTATGTAAAAGATGATATCTTGAGCATTTATCAGGGGGACGGCGTACGTAGAAAGCACGGCTGTTTACACGCTAAACTGGACATATACAGACATCGAAATAGACAATAACACTCCTCCTTAACTATCCCAGACAAACTAAATAACGGCTCCCGCCAACTGGGTATTTATGCAAACCAGTCGAATGGCGGACCGATCGGTAGATTGGCCATCGAGGCAACAAGCGCGAATTTTGCCTCGGTGGAAGGTTTATCGATCACTCAGCCTGTGAGTTGTAGTAACTACCCATAAACTAAACAAAACAAAAACGCGACATATCCCTACAACAAATTCCCATTTCCGATCCCAAAACACCCAAAATCCCTCAATAATACCGATTCGGTAAGGAGTGAGGGCTGCAACATTTACCAAACTATACTCTGTTTTTAAACTAAGAGGAGCGATTTGAATTTAAGTTGGCAATTCTGTAGCCTTCTGATTGGTCAGATTACAGTCAGTTTCACACATTACTTTTTAGCATGAACATCAGCTAATAATTGATATTGTTGACAATTCTGACATTTTATAATTTGATATCTCATCCATTACTTAGTTTTTTACTTTATTTCGTAAATAATAGTTCTTCAGTAAGCAATTGTAATGAAAATCTACAATTATGGATCCTTCTACACTGAGTACTATTAAAGGTAGCAATTCCTGAAAAGCCTTACAAGAAAGGGAAGTCACCTTATTATTTTACATGCTGATTATGAAGGTTTTGTAGAAAATGCATTATTGGTTTCTGAAGGTAAAAAGATGGGAGATTACCATGAAGAGATGAATTCCGAAGTATTTTAGAAAAAAATAATTTTATTACTGATTTTTTAAAAATGATTAAAATGTAACTAAATATTCAAGCAAATTTTATTTATTAGAATAAAACTATTTACAAAATTGTTATAACATTTAAAACACCATCTACTACTTTAGGGATAATCTTAATTTGGCACAATGAGTTAACATTACTTTCACAAAAAATATTTTAAAAATACTTAAAATTAATACATAGGTATGTATGAATAGTTCACTTTAAAAAATATATGTTGACATGTAGTGTTATGAAAATGTTGGTTCCAGTTTTCAAAACAAATCCTGACTCATAGGCCTGTAAACTTTTGAATGCCTTTATTTGCCCTCTAGCGCATTAACCATGGGTTAACACTAAATAAGCCATAATATCCACATTACTCATAGAAGAGATACCAGTTACTGTGTGATCCACTGATTAACTTTTACTTTTTATACCTATAACAAATATATCTTTAAAAATGTAAACAGATCTTCATATTTTATACTAACCTGGCTACATCTGGATATTCCATTAACAATTTTCTTAAATATTTAATATCCATTTTAAAAAGATCATAGTTATTCTCAAAAAGTCGATTTCAAAAGCAAGAAAAAAGTATTTCTGACATCAATCAACAACCATATGCATATTGACTTTAATTTGACAGTGACATTTCGTTTTAGACACACATTTCAGATCACAATAATGTGAAATTTGCGATCGTTGTCTGGGACCAATTAAAAAATTACTTCTATGACATTTATTCGTTTCTTAACCGCTCATTGGCCGTTTACCGACTAAGGCCGATAAAGATAATTATTTCATAAATTTTGAACACGACTATATTTCGAAACTCGCTCTTAGTAACAAATCTAGTTACTTTTCCCTGTGTAAATGCGTCTTTTCAATTCGCTCCTCCTAGTTTAAAAACAGAGTATAGAAGTCAGAAAAAGGTTTTATAGGTGGAGCTTCCACCATGGTCCCAGGGCCCACACGAAAGGACGAAGACCCGGTAGTGTCGAATTATAATACTTTTTATGACATGTAGATATTTTAAAATTATAAATAAAAATTCTAGTCTAGGTCCCAAATGGAAACCTTGTGGAATCTCCGACACTAGTACTAACATCCTATGGAACCCATTTAAAATCCCTTTAAAATGGAGTGTAACTTTGCTCTCGATTTTAGTTTCTCACTTTGACTCTCTTCTCTTGTTATTTCTAGTCTACTCTTTGCCCAAACCCTATCAGTCTTGATATAATCTACACCAGAAAATTCTAACCATGTTGTAACCGTGATTAATTCATAATGATATTTGTAAGAATATTAATGTACAATATTTACTCTACGCTGATGACTTGAAGCTTATTTCAATGATTAATAACAACAATGACTGTATCGTAATGCAAACCGATATAAACAAAATTCAAAACTGGTGTATAAATAATAAGCTCATGTTAAATCCTGCAAAATGCAACGTAATGTCATATACGCGAAAGAGTGACTGCATAAGATACGATTACAATATAGTAGGTGTCGTCCTCCAGAGACCTGACACGATTAAGGACCTCGGTGTTGTCTTCGATTCAAACCTTACATTTGTTAATCATTTGGCCATAACTGTCGCATCTTGTTATAAAGTTCTAGGTTCCATTCTACGATCTATCAAAGATTTTAATAATCTAGATACGTGCAAATTGTTATTCTGTGCCCTTGTTAGATCCAAGCTTGAATATGCCTCAATAATATGGTCCCCTAATTATAATGTGCACGTTTTAACTTTAGAAAAGGTTCAGCGACGTTTCCTTAAGAGTCTTCATTATTATTTTCATGGAACTTACCCTGAGAGGGGATACCCACAAGACCAGCTTTTAACAATGTTTGGAATGCAGAGCTTATTTCAACGAAGAATTATATCTTCAATTATTTTCATTTTTAAAATAGTACACCATTTAATTAAATGCCCGGCTTTATGTGCTCAGCTTAACTTCCTAGTTCCAAGAATTAATTCCAGGTACAGCTGCACATTCATTCTTCCCACTCCCAGAACAAACTTATTATGTCAGTCTCCATTGTACCATATGCTGTCCACGGTTAATGACTCGAGTAAAGAAATTGATCTATTTTGTACTACCATCTCAAAGATTAAAAAACTTTATTCCTGATTTATATCCATATATTCCTAATTAAAATATTTAGTGTAATGTAATTTAGTCTAATTAAGTTTTTTATGTTTTTGTATCTAATTTCATCTTTATATATTAGTTGTTTCGCATGCGATATGTGTGAGTAACCTTTTTTCTCCACTGGAGTTTTTTTCAGATTACTCATACAATCTCATTTATAGTTTTACTTTAAAATTTGTCTTGCTTTTATTGTATTATTTATAAATATATGTTTATTAATGTTAAGTGCGCATTCTGTAATAGGCCTTGGCCGTTGAATGTAAGAATAAATAAATAAATAAATAAAATAAATAAATAAATAAAATAATATTAGAAAGCTCCAAGGTATGAAAGTTCTGCCTTGGACCCTTGTCTCCTCGCTCTTCTGTTATCCTGATACAATGAACAGAAAGTTATAATTTCGTCGATAAAATGTTGGTATCAGGATAAAAGAAACTGTTTGCTTTATGGTAACGCAAAATTAGGTCCCCTCATCAAATAGTCATTGTCATTCAGGGTAACGCAAAATAGACGGATTTTTAAATTTGAAAAACTTCCAAACAGCTTAATATAGTGTTAGACTATCTATCTATCCTAACCATTTGATCTGTTTTTAAATAGCTTTCAAGCCAAGTCAGAAATGTCAAACTTTTTTTAATTTAATAGCAATAAAGTCAGAACCTTTACTAAAAATCAGAGTATATTATGTGCAAATGGCATATTTTCATAAAATTTAGAAATATTGATAACTGTACATTTACCGGCTATATAAAGCCACGTTGTTGATTATTAATGATATTACTGCAATACTAAGACAAAGGACTGTTAATGTTAATATTTCCTTATATTATTGTTATTTTATGAATGATATAAAATACAAACCTTGGGTAGATATGGTTGATAATCCAGACCAGACCTCTCATAAAATAGAATATAAGCCGTACTGGTATCAATTTTCGGCACTTTGACGTCCCTATATGGACAGTTAAAATTTAATGATTTCCTACTGCTATAAGGGGACTCCTTCAGTAATTTCTCATTGATATTTTCTAAGTTCGTCCCCAGTTTATCGACAGAACTGACGGAATTCGACCTAGAGCTATTGAGAGTTTCCGTTGAACCGGTATTCGTGTCTTTTTCCTTTTTGTCAAGGTCTTCGGACGCTGTACTTCCTGCACTAAGCTTTCGAAGGTTTTTCCGTTTGGTTAAAGGGGTACACGACGAGGTCCTTGAGTTGACAGAGAGGGTAGATTTATTGCAATTGACTTCGGGGTCAGGGAGTACCTCGCGGCAGGAACTGTCGTTGTAACAGTACCAGTGACCGTTAGGGTTACATGCATAGGATATATAGTGGCCACCATTGAGCATTCCAGAATGACACTGAGAATAAAATATTGTAAATATATTTTTGTATTATTATTAGTCATAGAGAGGGTTATTGAAATACATGTAGATATTAAAACATATTAAATTCTCCTACAAAATGCAAAAATATTATTTTGAAAAATACCAATAATTGAAAGATGTTAAATACTGAGTGTAATTAATTTATTAGATCCTAAAGAACACTATTGAGTAATACTTTGGTTTTAAAAGTTTCAAAACTGTAGTCCATTAGGTTAGCATTAAATTACCCATTGACCTTTTCTAATATAAAAATGTAATAAGAACCCCATAAAGGGTATTTTGTTAATAATAATAATAATAATAATAAAAAAAATATTTTTGAACATCATACACTCTCGTCACTTTTAATATGTACATGTAATTTTCAATAACAACCTGTACTTTAGGTAAACTTACCACTGCGGCATATAGTTGATACTTAAGATCGAAAGGATCCTGTCCAGGTAGCAACTGATGATTATGGTAATCCTTTAGATGCTCGTCAATTATAGGCGTTTTCAATAAGCTTGTTGATTCTAATCTTGCCCTAACTTTGGTCACTTTATCTCCTACTTTATTTCCCTTTGTAGCAAACCCTAAAAAATAAAATTTGAAATCGTTTTACAGTAATAATCACTATTATAATAACTTCAATAGTGAAATTTTAGGAAATTGACCCACCTTTATCAGTGTCATTGAGCAATTTACAGCTTTCTAAAGGAACGTTAGAATTCCTAACACAGTCACCTTTGCATGTATCTTCAACATTGCATTTTGAATCTCTTTCTACTCCAGAGTCTTCGTTCTCTTCAAGTATTCGGTCCGGTTGACTGTCAGTGGATTTATCTAAATCTTCATTTTTCTTCTCAAGCAACTGTTTATGCCTGAGAATAGTTTCTTGCGGAACCGAAGCAAGGTATGACGTGGGATCGAAATTTTTGAAGGGGAAATTGACGACTTTTTGAGTTTTAACCCATTTTTTGTTGACGTAAACGAAGCGCTTTAGGTGAATTATCTAAAAAAAGGTATTTAAATTTAAATGACGTCTCTGTTAAAATAATGGCATAAAAATAAAATGATACCCTTCCAAACCACAATTCATTGTATTCACCATATATCTATTAAAGAATCTATTTTAAATTTTAAGAAATTTGAAGAATTTACATCTTACAGAGCACAGGAGAATAAGTTAATTATGCTTGTCAGACAAGAAACAAATTTAAAAATGGTGGTATTGTAATAGAAGTGATTTCAAAGGTTGTATCAACTTGTTAAACATGTGTTTTTCATACATTTATTTTTAGGATTTATTGGCCCATGTAAAGTACGAAACATAAAATCTGGGGGAAGTATTCACAAGAATTCTAGTGAAAGTATTAACATATGGTAATTAGTAGTATTCATTTCATAATTTTAATATTGTTTATTTTATTAATATTTTTTATTAGGATCAGTTCAAGTAAAATTTCTTGAAACTCATGTCGGACATGCAGATGAGTTAAGAACAAAGAGACTGTCAAAGGCTGAAGAAAATATTGTAATTCAAGATGCCAGGAAAATTCAAAATAATACAATAGAAAGAATAAACTTGATAACGAGAGGAGACTTAGCATATTTAATAAGGAAATATAATATTGAAAAAAAAAAGAGACCTGATGATATGACAGCTCCCAGCAAACACACTTACGTACATAAGACGTACTATGTACGTACTGATGGGACGTAAAGTACGTACCATGTACGTACTTTACTGTACGAAGTACGTACATAGTACGTACATAATACGTACATTTTCCAAACGACGGTACGTACCTAGTACGTACTTAAAGTACGTACTCTGTACGTACCTAATGTACGTACTCTGTACGTACATAATGTACGTACTCTGTACGTACATAATGTACGTACTCTGTACGTACCTCATGTACGTACTGTGTACGTACTATGTTTGTACTTATTCCAATAGAGTATATATTTTAAACGTACTTTACATCCTTATTGGTACTTACTTATGATGTATAATGTACGTATTAGTGCAATAAAAAGAAAAGTAAACAAGTTAATTTGTATTTATTTAATTTTTTACATTAAAAGAATAATTTAAAAAGTTTTGCTATCTTTTTGAAAGTTTTTAGGCTATCATCAGCTCCTCTTAGCCATCTCACAATTTCCTGTTCTACAAACTTCTTCTCTTTGTATTTGTTACTTTTTATAGCACCTGCAAAGAAATAATATCAAATTAGAAACTTAACTTTGGTACTTTTTATAATAAACAATATAATAAAAACAATACAACAAAAAGATGTAGAGTAAAGTAAGCGATAGTTTCTACAGCTAAAAATTATCATTGTCAATATACTCCTGGATCTAAACCTCTCTTATTTGTATCCACCTGTTTTGGCCTTATGCCTTTGAAATCCAATTCGTTCCTGCCACTGTTCTATAATATCGGAACGCCTTTTGTTAAGCTAGATCTCCATCAGTTTTAAAGTTCAATGGTTGGAAGTACACAATTTCATTAGATACAAAAATAATTGTGACTAGATAGATGGGTTTTAATGCAACGACTTTATGAAAACTGGCATGCAAAAATAAAAAATTAAAACATCTTACCCACTTCAACTGCAGCCAATTATAATTTGTTGCCAGCTTATTAGTTATTAAGGCACCAGCAATAGTCCTTTTGACAAAATCCAAAATTAAATTATTAGGGTCTGTAAAATATCACTTCTTTTGTCTAAAATATTAGATACCTCCTGTTTATTCATTTCCTTAAACTTTTTTAATTGTTTTGTAGCATTTTTGTAATGTTTACTATGGGATGGGATGACATCTATAAATTATATTTATTACAGATAATTTTTTAAAATTAAAATGAAACCACTCACCAGAATAAAATGACGAAACTACGTACTTATAACACGCACTAAAAAGTCTAAATAATTGTCTTGTTCAATTATAATAAATTATACACAACTATTTGTTTAATGAAACACTTAATAGTTAAATCCTAAACATGAAAAACTAACAAAAACGAGCGAGTTTAGTTTAGAGTTTAGGTTAGGTTAAATAAATTGGAATTCGTCTTTTTTCTGTGCATTTTTTGGCCTACGGTCAACAGAAATTTGGTAAAAACATAGGTTTTTTAATAAAATAGGTATGCAACCAGGATTACGTACACTTAGGTACGTACTTAGTACGTACTTTTCTGTACGTACTGGTACGTACTGTTGTGTACGTACTTAAAACGTACATTTTACGTCCTGTACGTACAGTACCAAAAATGTACGTACTTAAGACGTACTGTGCTGTTTGGGCTACTACTTTGAAAATTGAAGAATGGGACAGGCAAGGAAAAACCATGAATTTTTATTCAAAATAATTGGTATGTACAATAAAAATACATTTAAAAATATGCAATTTTTATAGGGTTAAGGTTTAGATGGTGCAGGTATAGGTTCGGTTTTTATTTTCAGGTGAAAGTTACCCTGGATTAAAGGATGAAGATCTTGCAGTGGGTTATATGAATGGTGTTATGGAAAAAAATTAAGAGACTTTAAAAAGATTATTTATATTGATGGAACACATGGAACAAACCGAAGAAATTTGGATCTACAATACTTCTTATTAAGGCCGAGAATAATATGGGATTCCCAGTGTCATTTTTACTTTCAAACAGGTTAGATCAAACAATTCAAGAAATTTTTTTAGGGCACTCCAAACAAGACTGAGGGAGATACTTCAGACAATATATGAGTGATGATGACCCAAAATACTATAATGCATGGATCAAGGTTATGAATTCCTATGAAAACCCCAGAAGACTTCTTTGTTCATGGCATATAATCAAGAATTGGAACATCCAAGGTAGATCAAAACCTAATTAGGCAGAAAATAGACAAGAAATGAAGAGAATATTAAAAGAAACTAATATTACAAATTTTATAGTATTTCAGGCATTTGGAAGAGGAGGATGAAAATGATTTTCTGAAATACTTGCAAAAGAAAAGAACAAAGGTTATATAAATTAAATCAAATAGTCATATTTGTTTTTAGCTACTATTTCTAGAGCGAAGAAAGGATCATAACATGAGCCCATTGTTACAGAATTAATGTAGGAATAAATACAAATATGGCTAAAGTTTAAATAAAGTATTAAAATGTAATAAAATGAGTGGACGACGTAATCTTGGGTAAACATACTTTTATCATTTAGACAAAATGTGCAATGAAAAATATTGATATAATAAAATAAAAATATAATTCAAATTTTTTTAGAGTTGAAAAGTTGCTGGATTTGTTGGATGAGATGTTGAAAAGGAAAATTAATGCTGAAAGGCAAAATGCAAACAATTATCAACACAAAATTGTCGTAGAAGCCCATAAAATAGCAGAAAATATGAATGATAAGGTTGAAGTTTTTGAATTTGGAAAATTTAAAGTGCAATTTTCAGTAAGTAATAAATATGTAGTGTCTTGCAATGAAGTATGTGATATACAATGATGTACTGGGTATTGTAATAAATGTAAAATATGTTTACATAGATATCAATGTCAGTGTCCAGAGAATGATGTAAAAACAGTACTGTGTAAACATATACATGATGTAGCTTTGTTTGAGGAGAGAAGCGAGTGTGTTTTAGGTTCCTTAAATACTGGAGAGGATGATGTTTTCTGTGTCGAAGAGCCTACAACAATTAGTCAGTTAAATTATCAAGATGATGTAACCCACTTTATTCAGGAGAGTTCGAAAATGAAAGTTAATAATTCAATAATTAATTTTGAAGAAAGGTGAGAAGTGGTTAAAACAAAATATAATTTGTATTTTTATTACATACTATATAATTTGTAGATTGCAAGACAAGAAATTTGTAGCTTTGGTAGAAGTTTAGATGAAAATTCATTTGCTAGATTTATGACTGATTTCCAAAAATGTAGAAATAGAATGGTTTTGGAACAAGAGAACTGTCAGGGCATTAATAAAAAACGAAAAATGGAAAGAGACATACTATTCAAATAAAAAATAAAACTAATAATATTAATTTTTCTTAAGTTTTAGCCATTCTTGATTTTTGTATACAAGTATAACAAATTGGATTGTGGTTTTTTTCATATTTTGGATACTTTCTTTGTAGTGCTTTATTATTATAATACTACTTATGGTTTTTGGTAAGGTTTTGGTTCATATGGTTTGGAAAGGTGTTTTGTCAATAAGTTTGTAATAAAACATTTTAATATTGAATTTTTCTTAATGTTGTGTATATTGTTTAATTTTTTAAACTGAGCCATGCCACCACAATTATATTTCAGGTATTCTATTCTAGATAAAAATTACATTTAGTTACAAAATAAGTTCCATATTTTATATTCAATTTTTGTGTCCTCCCAATATATTTTTCTACCGTTTTTTTAGGGTGCTGAAGTAATTGTCATTTGATAAAAAGGACTGGGGGAAGGGAAGACCCCTGTGAGTATATATGCTATTAACTTGTATAAAGAACAGTAATTTTTATTTTATGTTTATTACAAAAATGTGTTGAATACGTTTGGACCGTGACCGTTAGATGCCAGACCTAGAAAAGTTTCAATGCCTAATGCATATTAGACCAAATATTTACTGCTTGATACCTAGAAAAATGTATTGAACTTTATTTAACCATTAGGTTATCATGTATAATATAACCATGCATCTTTTCAAAAAATATACATAATATATATTTTTTAAATTAGTATTTTAATGTCTTTGTATTTAAATGTTTTAAATAAACCTAGTAAACATATGCTATTGTACCTATTCGTTTTCATTTTCCCTCTTATTTGTTTTATTTATTTAAAAATATTCATATCAAAAAAATAACTCACCATCAGTAAAGGTATCAAAATAAATATTAATTATTAATTCTAATAATTACATTCTATTATTCATAAAGTATGGAAACTCTCCATTATCTTAAGACTTCATTATTTTCGAAGGTCATATCTTTTATAAGGTAGTGGAAGTAAAATTGTTTTGTCTCCGCAAATAATTAACTCGTAAGATAAGGGATTCCACACTTTATGAATGCACTATATAATTTACTTTATGTACGCAATGCAGCTCTTTTTTTTTTGAATTTGGCGGCATATTTGAATCCATCACAGAACCTCCTTAAAAATATTTCCTTGATACAGAATTCCGCATAATTACATAAATTGGAATTTTGAATTTGGCGGTACATAGGCCACGCCCCGGCTGATGCCGGAGCGTTCTCATTGGCTGGGCACATTTGCATTTTAATGTATGCTAACGTTAAGTTGCCTATTATGAAATCGAAGTACCTCAGTCTTATTAGCTTTAAAAAATAAATTAAGGGTATTAAAGTAACTTGACATTTTTTGAGCGATGTTGGAGCTCTTTCTGTTTAGTAGATCCGTATTTTCAGTTGAAATTATAGCCGAGAAATCATCTGCATATCTTACATAATGATTATCATCTATTAATTAGTCAACATTGTTTACATACAGTATGAACAATATGGGTCCTTAAATTGAATCCTGAGGAACTCCCATATTAATGTCTAGTGTATCAGAATTAATAGTATTGATTTTGTTGTCGTTTTGTACTTTTAAAGAAATATATTGCTTCCTAGCACGTAAAAAGGTTGAGATCCAATTTAAAACAGTGCCTGATTCCATATTTATCCAGTATATTTAATGGCAACTCATGGTTTACACAATTGAATGCTTTACTGAGATCATAAAATATAGCAGCTGGGCATTCAGATTCCTCCAAATGGTGAATAATTTTATTGAAAAATGAAAGCATAGCAGTTGGTGTTGATTTTTCAACATAGAATCCATGCTGATTTCCTGTTATAATGTTGTACCTTTTCAAGAAAGAAGACGATCAAGAAAGTCATATTCTTCAAAGATCTTAGACATACCACAGGGCATAGCAACATGTCTATAGTTTTCTATTTGTCTACGATCATTTTTCTTGTACAATGGTAAAACTTTCCCCAGTTATAAAGCTTGAGGAAAACTGCCCATCTCAAATGATAAGTTTACCAAATATGTTAAAGGTTCAGAGAGAACATCTAAAACTTGTTTTAGTATTAAACATGGTACGTCATCAGCTCCAGATGACCTTTTGTTTTTAATTTTCCTAAGTAATAAATTTAATAATTTTGTGTGAGAAAATGGAGTGAGGAAAGAAGAAAGAATCTTTATTTGATGTGATTCCTTCGATGTTACTAGTAGACTTTGTTATTATTTTGTCGACCAAATGACCAGCAGCATATTTAAAAAACTATTAAACTCTGCAGCTACCTCCCGTACCTCATCCAATAACATCCCGTCCTCTTCTATGACAATAGTTGGGACAGAACTTTGCCTATTCGTAATTTCTGATACAACATTCCAACAAGCCTATTAAGTATTGTCTGATCTTAGAATACGTTTTTGATAAGTGTTCTTTTTTCTTTGATTGTAATAAAAATGAATGATTTTTCTTCTTCTTCATATATTTCGGTAAAATGGGGATTCATTTCTTTAATATAAACAGGTCTTTTAGTGATAGACTTGAGGCAGCAATTTTGGCATTTATCCAACTTTTTTGTTTTTTTTTTGTAAGTTACTCTGTTTTTTAGGAAAGTAAAAATTAAAACGATTTTTAAAAATGTCATAAAAGTACGAAAATGCATTATCAAGAGTACTAATACTATTTAAAATTGTCCAGTCTTCATTGGAAAGAGCTTGTTTAAACTGCACTATATTATGTTCGATAAAATTTCTTTTCGCTACATCCATTTTTGAATCCTTTTCTAAACCTTTAAAGGTATTGAAATCACAAAAAACTGAAAGATTATCTGAAATTTCGTTATCACTGACACAATACGTAACATTGTATTTACAGCTGCTCACGAAAATTTGATCAATTAATGTGCAGGAATTTTCAGTGACTCTTGTTGGCCAAGTATCTATTGGCACAAGGTCAAAATAGGACAAAAGCATACACAAATCATTAAAACTATCATTTGAATATTTGTCAAAATTAAAATCACCCCATTAAAATAAACTGAGTATGTGGGATGTATATATGATCTAATACCTTAGAAATTGTATTTAAAAACACATTAATGTCTCCAGAAGGAGATCGATAACAATCTAAAATAGTAAGAACAATTTGATTAACTTTGTTAATAATAATTTATGCTTACGAGTATTGGGGGTAACCTCCATATCTGCATTTTTTTGGTGGCCGGTTGAAGGTCTTGACAGCTACTACAGTGGTATTTAGCTTCTAATCTTTCTTCCGAGGTGAAGGCTCTCAGGCAGTAGTCCAAATCGATAGGTTCTGCATGTAATTTTCTACAAGTTGTTACTGACTCGTGTTCTGACCACATCTAATAAAAAAAAACAATAATTTATAATCGTCGTTTAAGCATCCAATAGTGTACAGAATAAGCCAGGTAAAGAGTACATGAAATATTTTGATTGAAAACGAATTATAACATTAACATTACTATTTTATTATAGACCAGAAAATGAAATTCTAGATAAAAATTGGTGTATGATCCAAAACCTAATATAAACTGCATAAATATTTAAAAATTTTGTCCCGTATACGAGATAGATAAAAATATATAAATTTGCTGAATCTCTGTACAAAAATAAATAGTTCAATTTGTAGGATGCCAAACAAATATTTCCCATAACTTTAACAGTTAATAGCCTGAAATTTGCTAAGCAAAAAAGATATGTTAGAAAAACAAGCGTGAATATAGGTACAATTTGGTAATAAGGAAGTACATATGTATATATTTCATAACTCGCCTAATGAAAAACCACAGAAAATAACACTTCTATCTACCAAGACAAATGATAGCTGAAACTTCTTGTGGTGTCAATAGCCGTAAGAGAGATGACAGCAAGAAAAACCACAAACGTAAGAATGGTGTTCCAGTAGATGAAGTAATAAACTTCAAAACTGATCGCAATTAAAATATACATATCATGTAAGCTATAAAGGACTGTTTCTTTCTTTGCCTCCAAATTACCCTTATATACTCGCACATGGCTACCCCCATTGTAAATTTATTTTTATCTTTTAGCAATTCGAAAAAGTTTGGAAATATGTACTGTCATAGAGAATCTCCCATTATCTTAATATCTTATTACAGTAAACGCCAAATCTAATGAACCAGCGCAAATGCTCAAGTTCGTTTACTTAAAAATCGCCACGCCCATTCACAATTTGAACCTTGTCCTTGCTTACGGTCAGTAGCGTAACGACTAGATCATTGTTTGTTTCTTGTTTCTGTGTTATGGTTAAAGTGACTGGTTTTATTTTTGATAATGTCTTCTATTCTGAGTGAAAAAAAGCGCAGATCTGTTATTAACGGACAAAGTCGTGAAGTAATATACAATGTTTTTAAATATTTTGACGCAACAAAAAAGGAAGGAGTTACATTTTCCACACCTAGGAAAAACTTCGTCAAAAAATCAACCACTGCGAAACTCCCTGAATATCAATTGAGGGACATTCGAAGAATAATTTACGATATTCATATAACAGAAAAGCCTCGTGTTACTGTTAAAAGGTTAAATAATAAAATTAAGGAAGATTTATATATCCACATATCAGAAACTTCATTAAGAAGAGTCCTTAAAAAACTACAATTTAAATGGAGAAAAACACAAAATAATCGTAAAGTTTTGGTGGAAAAAAATGAAAATAAGAACTTTAAGAGTAAAATATTTGAGACAGATAAAATATTTTAGAAGTCAAAATAGACCAATCGTTTATTTAGATGAAACATATATACACAGCGGACATACTTCGTCCAAGAATTGGACAGACGACTCAACAAAAGGTTTGTTTTCTGTTATTTTTAAAGGCCAAAGGCTTATTATAGTTCACGGTGGGAGAAAAATGGGTTTTATCAAAAATAGTTTGTTGATATTCAAATCAGGGACCAAGTCTGGAGATTATCATTCCGAAATGAATTCGGAAAATTACGGTAAATGGTTAAGAGAGAAGTTAATACCTAATCTTTCACCTAATTTAGTAATTGTTTGTGACAATGCTAGTTATCACAATGTACAGACAAATCGAGCAACTAATTCCAATTCTTTGAAGAATGATATGATCGAATGGTGGACAAAATACAACATACCTTTTAATCCAACAAGTTTGAAACCAGAGTTATATGAACTGATTAAATCTCATAAGGACCGACATGTAACATATGAATTTGATGAGTTGTGTCGAGAATACGGCAATACCGCTTTACGGTTACCCCCATATCACCCCGACTTGAACCCTGTCGAATTGATTTGGGCAACCGTTAAGAATAATATCAGTTAAAGGAATGTTACCTTTAAATTAGAAGACGTAAAACAATTAGCAGAAGAAGAATTTAACAAAATCGGTATGGAGGAATGGAAGAGATGCGATCATGTTATAAAGGTAGAAGATAAATATTTTGAAAGAGAAATACAAACTGATTTATGTTCGGAAATTAATCCTATCGTCATTAATCCTAATGAGGATTCCAGTGACGAGTCTTCTTCCAACGAAGAATCTGACGAAGACATATGAATATTATTTATTTGTGATTTACTGTTTACGTTGTTTATATTTACTTATAGGCTATATAAGTGGTAAGTATTTAATACCATTTCATTTTAATTTCTTGATAGTTTCGGCCTTTACTTGATGAAAATCCATATTATTAAAATGAGAAAAATCAAACATGGTAGATTTTCACTTTTATTTAAAGAAATAAAAATTTAAAATTGCACGACAATTGTTTCTAAGTACAACTTCTTCAAATGTGACTCATTTACATTTCTATGTTAAAATATATATCTAAAATATATTATTCTAACAGCACATGTTGCGCCATCTGTTGTTGTTCCCTGGAACTATTGTCAAGATATCCCTATCCCTTTCTAATATAATAAAGGTAGTTGTTTTACTAAGTTTCACAAGACTGGTCGTGTATTATTTATACCCTCAAATTCAACAGGTTTTGGGCCCAGCGCGCCTTAATCGTACTCCAGTAGTTTAAATAAAGTTAGCACGCGTTACAGTTCAGTTGTGACTTAAAGAACACTCTTTTTTTCTACCCCGTAAATCGGAAAAGTTTTTTTCGTAATTGGCGTCGTGTGGACAGTGCAAAAATGGCGTCCAACAACTATCTTGCCAGTGTTCCAAAGTTGCAAGGCCGCGACAATTATGAGGAATGGTCGTTTGCCATGGAAAATTTCCTCGTATTAGAGAGCCTAGATAAATGCATAGTTGGAACGGAAACCGATAGTATACAAATCGCGAAAGCCAAGGCAAAGATTGTGTTGTCTCTAGATCCTTCCTTGTATGTACACGTGAAAGAGGCTACAACAGCTAAAGAAGTTTGGGACACACTAAAAGATCTATACGAAAACAAGGGATTTACAAGAAAAATTTCTCTTCTACGATACTTAATTTCCCTAAGGTTAGAAAATCACTCAACAATGGCAGAATATGTCAACCAGGTCATCGAGACATCCCAGAAACTCGATCGGACAGGGCTCAAACTCGACAAGTCATTGGTAGGAAGTTTACTTTTGGCAGGATTGCCCGAACAATTTGCTCCGATGGTAATGGCGCTGGAACATAGCGGAATCGATATTACCACCGATTCTATCAAGTCAAAGTTGCTGGATATGCAACTAGATGGCGGCAGTAGTTCATCAGGGGGTGCGTTCGCTGGTAAAGCTGGAAATTATAAACGTCAAAGTCAAAATCGGAAAGATGACAACCGAAGTAAAAATGACAACCGACATAAAAACAAAGACGAAATAATTTGTTTTAGATGCAAACAGCCAGGTCATTTTATGACAAAATGCCCTAAGTTTAACCAAAACAAATTAACTGATAAGCAAACAAAAAATGCGTTTAATGTTGTTTTCCTCAGTGCTGATTTTAATAACGATGATTGGTATTTGGATTCAGGGGCGAGTATCCATCTAACTTGCAGGCAGGATTGGCTATTAAATCAAAGAGAACCAATCGTAAAAGACATTATGGTTGCAAATAATAGCAAAATCAGTGTGCAATTGAGTGGCGAAGTAGATATTCTTACTAAAGTAGGTGAAGAAAACTTTGAAGTAGAAATCAAAAATGCTCAGTATGTTCCCGAATTAGCCACAAATCTATTGTCAGTAAGTGAGCTTTTGAAAAATGGAAATTCAGTTGAATTTAACAATGAAAGTTGCAAGATCTTAAACAGTAATAAAGTTCTAGTAGCTGAAGCTTTCTTGAGTAATGGTGTATATAAAATAGATACCTCCAAAAGATGTTTACTGGCTGGACAAGCTGTAGTTACTGGCAAAACATGGCACAGAAGGCTAGGTCATATAAACTCCAGTTATCTAGATAAGATGCGAGATGGTTTAGTGGATGGAATCAACTATAATGGCAAATTAAAAATTAACCTACAAAATTGTGAAGTCTGCTGTATGGGAAAGCAAACTAGGAAACCATTTGGACATTCAAGTACTAGGGCAACTGGATTACTTGATGTAGTGCACACAGATTTAGCGGGACCCTTGGAGACACCCTCCATTGGTGGCTCAAAGTATTATGTGGAATTTCAAGATGATTTCAGTCGCATGTCCTTTGTATACTTTGTCAAAACAAAAGCAGAAACATTTGAAAAATTTAAAGAGTTTCAAGGTTTAGTTGAGAAACAAGTAGGAAGAAAAATCAAAGTTCTACGCTCAGATAATGGGGGTGAGTACATCAGTGCAGAATTTGAAAATTACTTAAGGAAACAGGGTATAATTCATCAGACTTCCAACCCGTATACTCCCGAACAAAACGGGCGTTCAGAAAGGTTAAATAGATCATTGGTGGAGAAAGCTAGGTGTCTATTGTATGAAGCAGGTTTAGAAAAACGCTTCTGGGCTGAAGCCGTGAACACAGCTTGCTACCTAAGAAATAGGTCTGCAGTGTCTAATATCCCAAAAACCCCATGTGAAATGTTTTTTGGCCGTAAACCAGATTTAAGTCATGTACGAATTTTTGGCAGTACAGCAATGACTCACATTCCAAAGCAAAAAAGAACAAAGTGGGATCAGAAATCTGAAAAATTGATTTTAGTTGGATTTTCTGAAACCACAAAGGGTTATAGACTTTATAATACAAAAACGGGCCAGATATCTACAAGTAGAGATGTACATATAATAGAAAAAGAAACAAAAAGTGATTATATTCATTTCTATGTAGAAGAAAATCAAAATGAAAATGATCCCGAGGAAAACCAGGAATTTGGCTCGAACAGTGAAGATTCAAGTTCAGATGAGTTAGTTTTTTCTGAAGAGGAGCTTAATGACGAAACCTATGTTCCTAAAAATGAAGAAAGTATCGACCTTCCTGAAAATGCGAGAAGATCACAAAGAGAAAGAAAAATTAAAAACTTTGAAGACTTTGTGACCTATTTTACTTCAGCAAAGCAAGAAAGTTCTGAAGAAAATCCAGTTTCAGTGGGAGATCCGACTTCAATAGCAGAGGCCCTTGCAGGGCCAAACCGAAACAAGTGGATAAGTGCCATGACAGACGAAATGAAAAGTTTTAGTGAAAACCGTGCGTGGGAGCTAGTGGACCTTCCGGGAGGTCAGTCACCAGTGAAGTGCAAGTGGGTTTTTAAAGAAAAGGTCAGTAGTGATGGTAGTATAACTTATAGGGCTAGATTAGTTGCTAAGGGCTTTAGTCAGAGGCCTGGTATAGATTTCGATGAAACTTTTTCCCCAGTAGTTAAGCATTCAACATTAAGGTTACTTTTGGCATTGTCTGTCCAACTCAAATTAAATATTTACCATTTAGATGTTGTTACAGCTTTTTTGAATGGAAAATTGGAGGAAACTGTATTCATGGAAATACCAGAGGGCTTTAATACTGAAACTCCTAACAACAAAAATAAAGTTTTAAAACTGAATAAAGCGGTATATGGTTTAAAACAGTCTTCTCGGGTTTGGTACAAAGAAGTTGAAATTGTGTTAGTTAACTTAAATTATAAAAAGAGTGACCATGAGCCTTGTATTTTCATTAAACGTGAAGACAGTTTTATTACCATAATTGCCTTATATGTAGATGATTTCTTCGTTTTTTCTAACTCTGTGCAGGAATCAGATAATTTGAAGCAGCAGCTAGCTGCAAGATTTAAAATTAAAGATTTAGGACAACTTAAGCAATGTTTAGGCATGAGAGTTAGGATAGACAAAGGCAAAAATAAAATTCAGTTAGACCAAGAACAATATATAAACAATGTTTTAGATAGGTTTAATATGAGCGAGTGTAAGCCTGTCGGCACGCCCATGGACAAAAATGTATGTTTTGATGAGACAGATACAGACATATGTAGAAAGGATCTGCCTTATCAACAGCTGCTAGGTAGTTTGATGTATTTGTCAGTATTAACAAGACCGGACATTACTTTTGCCGTGAATTTTCTTAGCCAGTTTAACAATTGTTATACAGAATCGCATTGGAAATGTGCTAAGAGAATTCTAAGGTATCTAAAAGGTACAAAATCTTTATGTTTAAAATATGAAAATGATGATTCAGATTTAACAGGTTTCGTTGATTCAGATTTTGCGAGCAATACTTGTGACAGAAAGTCATATACCGGTTTTATTTTTAAATTAGCTGGTGGCGCTGTTTCATGGGAATGTAAGAAACAAACCACCGTAGCTTTGAGTAGTACTGAAGCTGAGTACATGGCTGTCACTGAGGCTTCAAAAGAAGCCATTCATTTTCGTAATATGTTGTCAAGTTTGTTAGGTATATCTAAATGTATTACTATTTACAATGACAACCAAAGTGCTCAAAAGTTAGCTATGAACCCTGTATGTCATAAAAGGTCCAAGCACATAGACGTACGCTACCATTTTATTCGAGAAGCTATTTCAAATAAATTGGTTAACCTTAAATATTTGTCAACAAATGAAATGCCAGCGGACGTCTTTACTAAAGCACTTTGTTCGTCAAAACACTTAAAATTTACCAAAGAATTGGGTTTAAGTGACAATAATATTTTAGATAAGTGGGAGTGTTAAAATATATATCTAAAATATATTATTCTAACAGCACATGTTGCGCCATCTGTTGTTGTTCCCTGGAACTATTGTCAAGATATCCCTATCCCTTTCTAATATAATAAAGGTAGTTGTTTTACTAAGTTTCACAAGACTGGTCGTGTATTATTTATACCCTCAAATTCAACATTCTAATATATATACAAAATAAACTAATTAGTTAAAGTAGGTACTTAAGAGAAATATATTAATAAAATTCCAATAAGATATCATTACCGGGATTATCTCACAGAAAACTAAGAACAGGTAGAGATTTAATTAAGCTCAGTTATTAATATCTAATTGATCACTTAAGAGAATATTTTAATTTTTAAATCTATTTATTTCAAGTGTTTCTAAATGGTTAAATTTAATGCCTTTATTCTCAAAATGTGAAACAAATTTTGCATAAACGATAGATTTTCAGATAAAAATATGTTTTGTAGAATTATTTTTGTTTTTAGTATAACTATTGTAATGTTTTAAATAGCTTTTTTTTACGGCCCGTTTGACCAATATACAATTTTACCACAATTTAATTTATTTGAATAAGGATAATTTCCTGACCGTAACAGAATTTTATATAAATACCGAACGGAAAGCGGTAGGTAGAACAGCCTTAACCTAAAGTCGGCTTACTTAAAAATAATGATTTTTTAATTGCCTATAGAATTATGTACTAATAATAACACTAACCAATATGTAGGTATGAACGTATCATTCACTATTTTCCATTTATTTTACGTCTTAAAATATACGCGCCCCTGGTTTACAACTTTCTAGGAAGCTACCAATTCTGTTCATCGGTAGGCGTGTTCGTAACATTATAAATGCGCGTCCTTGGTTCTTTAGATTTGGCGTTTACTGTACCCAGCTGTTGTTGTTTGGCAAGTGACAGGTCCCCAACTCCCACCCACCCTGTATATTACGTATTATTTTTGTTTTGTTTTAGGAATTTAATTTTTACCTTTTCTCTGCAGGTCTGATAACGCAGATGCAAAGCAGTTGGATCCCAATCAATAGAAACACACATGCCAATATTTAAGCTAGTTCTGCAAATGCTCACGAGGAGTTCATCAGATAAAGGAATTAAACAACCCCTACAGAATTGGGTCCAATGGCAAATAGCGCATATCTGACCACCCTGAAGAACGGCCTTTAGCGAGAATGGGAATTCGTAGCCTAGAGAGTCATCACTAAAAAAAAAAAATTAAAACGAATAATTTATATACAGGGTGTCCCAAATAAGAGTGATCGATTTTAAATGTAAATGCACAACTTATTAATTGTCAACTTGAATGGAAAAAATATGTATTATTTTAAATGGAACACCCTGTATATTTTGATGGCATTCAAAAGAGAGATTCATCTACTTTTTAAGTAACACTGCTGTTTGTCTTTATTTAAAAAGTGACATTAAATAAAATTAACAAAAAGAATTTATTCAGTAACAAAACGTAACAAAAATTTATTAAAAATTAGAAAACAAACATTTATAATGAGGATGTAAAAGTTACATTAAATACTGTATGTATCTACTCTCTTGTTCAATGCACATACGCAAGCGAAATTTTAAATTTTTAAACGATTTTTCTAACACATCTGGCGGAATATTTTCGATAATGTTCCTAATATTATCTTTTAGTTCTTCTACGTTGTTAGGCTTAGGACTGTAGCATTTATCCTTCACATATCCCCCAGAGAAAAAAATCTGGGACAGTTAGATCAGGAGATCGCGGTGACCACTCAATCGGTCCAGCTCGACCTATCCACTTTTGATTAAAAAATTATTTAACGAATAACGTGCTATCATTGAAAAATGAGGTGGTGCGTCATCTTGTTGAAAGTAAACGATGTCTCTAATTCCATCTTGAACTAATTGTAGATAAAAAAACTGTTCCAACATATCCGCGTAATTTGTACCTGTCACAGTTGGTTCCGTAAAGAAGAAAGGACCATAGATTTTTCTAGGGGACAACCCACACCAAACGTTAACTTTTGGACTATCTCTTTCAAATTCATTAAAAGAAGTGGGGTTTTCAGAACCCCATATTCTGCAATTTTGTTTGTTACACATTCCACTAATGTAAAAGGTTGCTTCATCAGACATGATTAATAACGTATTAGGTTCATTCCTGAATAAATCTAGTAAAGTCTCGCATACCCTTAGTCGTTTTTCATAATCTGACGGGTACAATTTTTGGTAGGTCTGAATTTTATATGGAGTCAGTTTTAAAATTTTTAGACACCTTTGCACGTCACTTTTGGAAATGTCTAAAATTCCAGCAATCTTTCTAATCGAAATTCTGTAACTGTTAGCTTGCAGCACTTCATTCACATACTTTGATTACTATACGAGGCAAGAGAGAGGTCCGACACGCCCAACATAGGGCGCGGCCATTTTGAACCCTATGACACAATTTATAGCTAAAGAATCAGATCGCTCACTCTGCGTCGGCACTTTTGATGTCAATGTTCCAGTTTATACACTGCGCAACTCGGATAATACAATATATGACAACCGCCTATAATAAAACAGCAGTCTTCTGCGTATCCTGGATTTGTATCCCTGGAGTGGATGTTATTTTGGAACTTTCAACTGGTCCGAGTGACCTAACTGATTCTTTAGCAATAAACTGTTACTCCAAAAATAATATTCACTGACACTGACAGCAGCAAGCAAAATATCAGGTGCGTTTTAATCATCCGCTTCTGCTTCCGGAATTGTCGGTTTAGTCGTTTTAACCTGTCAGATTAAAACAAGAAAACCGACAATTCTGAAGCAGAAGCGGATGATTAAAACGCACCTACTAAAAATATTGCGCCAAGATGTAGGCAACACGTAATAAGGGTTCAAAATGGCGGAGTTTTCTATCTCCTTTTAAAAGGCACTCAGAAAGCTGCGCAGTGCGACCATTCTCCGTGTAGTAAAAGAAAATCAAAGTATGTGACTTCATTAATAGACAACAACTTTTCAAAAAGAGCATCAGCGTTTCTTAGTTTTTTTTAGGTGCGCAATGCAACCAGTTTCGCTAAATTTTACGTCACTTTTTAATAATATTCACAGAAGGGGGATTTTTACCAAATTTTCTTCTGAATATTCTCCTTGTTCGAGAGATAGATTTAGTTTCTGCATAAATTAACACAGTTTGAGCTTTTTCAGTTACTGAATAAATCATTTTGTGACAGTAAATTAAATTCTGTTTTTATGAATTGTCAAATTTGTTGATTTTGTTGTCAGCTTGTCATAGCAAGAGTTCTTGTCATAGCAAGAGTTGATTTATTTTACTATGTATAAAATTATGTTCAAATAAATCTGGCTACGTGTTTTACTCTCCTATGAAATAGACAGATGTATTTACTTTTAATGAATTTGAAAGAGATAGACCAAATGTTAATGTTCGGTTAATTTTGTGTGTGTTAAATTTCAATTACGCATGTGTATTGAAGAGGAGGGTATACATAGGCACATACAGCATTTGTTGTATCTTTTACATCCTTCATTATTAATAATTGTTTTGTAATCTATATTAAATTTTTGTTATGTTTTGTTACTGAACAAATTCTTTTTAATTTTATTTAATGTCAGTTTTTAAATAAAGAAAACAGCAGTGTTACTTAAAAACTCGAAAATCTGTGTTGTTAAGAAAACAAAAGATATCAAACTATACATTTTTAAAAAGTGGATGAATCTCTCTTTTGAATGCCATCAAAATATACAGGGTGTTCCATTTAAAATAATACATATTTTTTCCTTAGATAATATAATAGCAGATAGGCCACCACTGCATAAAGTTATACAATATTAATCTCGCTATCATATAATCAGTATCTCTCTTTCTAATGAAGGCTTTCTCACTCGTTTTAGAATTCTCAGCAGTAGCGTACCGTAAAACAATTTCGCTGGGTCATTTTAAATCCGAAAATGTTGACCAAATAGAATATAAAATGTTTTAAAAGGTAGGTAGGTGCATTTTTAATGAAGTGAAAACAAAATATGACTTTTTTGTTATGAATATAATATTAATAACAATTACTTTTAACACCACAACACGAACAAATTTAAATTAAACACTGGAATAATTGTCTGAGAAAAGCTCTGTAAAACTGACAAATACAAACAAAGAGATAGAGATATTAATCTATTTCTCTCTAATTAGAATTCTCGACCATATTATCATGGTGACACAAACATTGTTTACTGTCCTCTCTTTACTACTTACTTACTCTGAGATTTTTTCCATTCAAGTTGACCAACATTAGTGGATCACCCTGTATTGATGTGATAAAATGTGAACAAACTTAAAAAAAACTTTTGGATAAACGAAAGCAATTAATAAGCTGTGCATTTACGTTTAAAATCGATCACTCTTATTTGGGACACCCTGTATTTAACATATTATATATTTTACTAAAACCCAAAAATTAACTCACCAGTCAGTTGCATGGTTTGGTTGGTCGCTTTGAGGTAAAGGGCTCAGTAACCTGGTTACTTGACTCCAAACACCTTCGTAGAGGCTTTGACACGTGCTGTTTTCATTAAAACCTAATAGTATGGGCAGCCCAAATAGACTGGGTTTGCTCTTTTGTTGAGATAAGAAGTAAGTTTCTTGTCTTACATACTTCCTATGTACAGCTATGAGATAAGAAGGACACTTTTGGTTGGAGTCTGATGTGGCTGCAGGCAAATAAAATTAAATAAGAAATAGAGCACCTAGGTAAATGATAATTATACATTAATGATGAGTGGTGTACTACTCAAGTGGTCATATCAGTGCGGAACACATGCTGGTTCAAATGGAAACACTACAGTTAAGGTTCATGTCTGTCGCATTTTTGTTATTAATTTTAAATTGGCAGATAATAAGTATTCTTTTAATACAATGTAATTTCAAGAAAAATTATTTTTAAATGTAAATTTCATATATTTTTTTAAATAGGTGCAAATTGTCAACTGTTACAAGAAAAATCTCGGGAAAAAATTAAATAATAAATGAAACTATTGTTAAAAAATAATGGTTTATTTTAATTTATTTTTTTCTGAAATTGTAAGATAAAAAAACTATATATTATTAATTTTTACGATAATATATTAAAAATTTGTTTTCCTTATTCCATATTTAAAAGTTAAAAATTATAGGAATTTCGACATTGGATCTTCAAATGGTTTGATGAAAAATAATTAATTTTCAAAAATTCTCTTATTTCTAAATACCTATTACCTTTACCTACATTCTAACACTACTTATATAATTATATCAACCTAAGGCATATATTTTAAGTAATAAATAATTTGAAATAAATTAAATACCACGAAAACAATGAAAATTAAACCTTAAAAATACTGAAATGTTATGTTGTTTACTTTTTAGTTTTCTAGGACCGAGCTAAACAAACTCCCATTTAAAAAGAAAAGAAAACGCGGCTAAAATTAATCAGGGTTACTAGGCATGGTGAAAGGAGATATGTGAAGCTGTCCGTATTGTGCACGACTTATATTCGAAGTAAATATTTGTTATGCCCGTTTTGCATGTTAAAATGCTACTTTTGAAGTTTTTACTATATTTTTGTTATAGTGTTAATAACTTTAGAGACATATTAATCATAAAAATTAATATTACAAGTGTTTTTAGTACGTATTATTCAATTTATAATTTAACAGGTCGAGTAACTGGTATAATAAGGTTATATATTTTTCTTGCATTTATCAGATAAAATTTATCTTCTAAAGTGATGTTCATTAAAAATTAAGCCTTAACGTTTTGCTTTTATTTTAATATATCCAATGGCGAAGCTTTACATCATATAAATGTACTATCGAGACTGACAACAACGGATACTACAGCATCAAAACCGGACACGACAATGATAAAAAACAATTAGATAATAATAATATAAAACGAAAAGGATTTAAAACATTTAACAACTATAATGACACACCCCATAATGTACTAAATAATGTACAAATATTAAAAAAAAAAAACTACTGAAGAAGGCACTGATCAGTGCCGAAAGCTTTACCCACATACACGAGTTTCATTCCTCAACCAACACCTAAAATCCCAAGAACTACAAGGAAAAAATATAAATAAAAGTGTAAGAAAAAAAAAAAAAAACTTTAGAAAAGGAGGTTTCCTTTTATAAAGTAACAATATTAAAGGTATTGGACCGAAGTCTAAACATACGGTTAAGTACTGTAATTTACCATCAGCTTTAAGACCTGTCAAACACAGTGAACAAGTTCCTATTCCAAAAGCACCAGAATCTCGATGAAGAACTAGAATCGACTGGTTCTTTAAGTGATGTTACAGAAACCGCAAAGGAAATGACAACCGATCCTTTATTTGATTTACCAGGATGTTCAACAGCGCCGCATCTAATTTCACAGGGTGAACTTAATGACTTAGTTCGAGATCTGAGCCTGTCAAAATCGCAGTCCGAACTTTTAGCATCCAGACTAAAAGGTTGGAATCTTCTCCAAAGTGATGTAAAGATTACTTTTTATAGAAAAAGGCAGAAAGACCTCACAAATTGCTTTCTTCAAGAAGGGAATCTAGTATACTGTTCAGAAGTTAACCTTTTGTTTAACGCACTGGGACAGAAACATGATCCACGTGATTGGCGTCTATTCATTGATTCCTCTAAACTTAGTTTAAAGGCGGTATTGGTTCATAACGGTAACGAATATCCATCTGTGCCCTTAGCTCATGCGGTTCATATGAAGAAATCATATGAGAATATGAGAGTTCTTTTAGAGCACATCCATTATCATGAGTACGGTTGGGCAATATGTGGAGACCTAAAAGTAATACTCCTTCTTCTTGGATATACGAAATATTGTTGCTTCCTTTGCGAATGGGACAGCCGTGCGAGAGACCGTCATTATGTACAGAATCAGTGGCCAGTACATCAGGCACTAACTTCGGGACAAAAAAATGTCAATGAACCTCTAGTTGGTATTACTACCTCCTTTGCATATTAAATTGGGTTTAAGGAAGAATTTTGTTAAGGCAATGGACAGAAATAGAAGAGGTTGTATCTGAAACAAAAATTTCCAAGAATCAGTGAAGTAAAAATTAAGGAGGGCATATTTGTGGGTCCGCAAATAAGAGAAGTAATGAAAGATAAAACATTTGAGGAAAGGCTCAATGAAACTGAACTACGAGTCTGGAGTGCTTTTAAAAGCGTTGTTGCAAATTTTCTTGGAAATGTAAAAGCCTATAAAGAAATGGGTTGTAACATGTCCCTTAAAATTCACTTTCTGGACTCCCATCTGGATTTCTTCCACGAAAATTTAGGGGCGGTAAGTGACGAACATGGGGAACGGTTCTACCAAGGCATTTCTGCTATGGTGAAACGGTAACGAAAGGCAAGTGGAGTGCTAGTTTGCTTGCCGATTACTGCTGGACAATGTTAAGGGATACTCCAAAAACATCGACAGTAACATTTTAAGGTACTTTTTGGTTAATAAAATAATATAACAATAATACATCTATCGCTGTTTTCTTAAAAAACAAAAATACCTCCATAGCAAAAAACTAAAGGCGATAGAAGAAATCTGTAGCTATATTCTGCTTTTGTAACAATTTTTACATAATAAACACTTTGTTTTGTTCATGTCACAAAAAACAAGTGGATTTTTGTTTACCAGTGTAATCCGTATTCTAAGAAAAATACAAAATATGTGAGCCAAACTAAAAATAGCGCCAGAAAACGTATGAACATCGAGAAAATTAGTAATGACCAATGAGAAAGATAATAGAGAACGTCGAAGAATGTCATATTACAGAATAAAAGATAACCAAAGGGAGTGCATATATGACTTGTAATGCTGTCAAAAAACTGGATAAAAGGTCCATACATGCTACTAAACCTTAAACATAAAGTATACATTACATATTTATGCCAAATAAATAAGCACGTGAAGTTCGGAGCAAAATGAATGAATTGTTACAAAATTAGGATATGTTAATGTTGAGTATATTTTTCAAACGGTTTGTTGATTCAAATTAATTTTATATAGGACAGAAATGAACCTTGAACATACGTCTACTTTTCTGGTGTGATGTTTTTCTTTTCTATTTACAGACCTGAGGCAGTAGAAGTATTGGAATGTACAGATATCGAAGATTTTTTAAATGAATTATTGGTTTTCCTAGGTTCCAAATTATCCTGTTTAGATCTGATGTTCTGAAATCAAAAAATATATAATTTGCTACATCTTTTAATAAAAATCATACATGAATATTTTTTTTATTAATAAAAATTATGAACACACAATAAACAAAAATAATAAAATTAAAAAAATAAGCCTCAACTTCTTACTATGCAACAATTTTAAAACAAAAAATACGGCAAAAACTGTACCCAAACAGTACACAATAAACAAGCTACTAACATTACCTTAATATTCTTTTCAATCTACAATTTATACTGAAATGTTGAACATGAATATACAAGAGAAATAATTTTTACAATTAGTTATCTTGTTGCGAGGTACATACAAAAATATATTTGCAGATCTAATTTTTTCTGCATAAAACTATTTAAATTCAAAGCAATAAAAAAATGGCTTTCCAAAAACCAATATACAGATACGGATTGTTTACAATAAATTGGATATAGTATAATAGGAATAATACATGCACAATTTGAATTTAAATCAGAGCCATTGTCCACAAAGTTCACGTAGTACTTAGTACCTATTAAATCTATAACGATTTAAAATAAAATATATTCCTTCAATTTACAATGAACTATATATAGTAAAGAAAAAAATACAGATTTTTAAAATAGTCTTTTGGAGGTCACTCTATAAAAGACAAAATAAATTTGTTTATTGCTGCATTTGAAAACAGACCCATTCTGTCACATTTTACAATTGTTAGGATTATTCAAAAGTTTGAGATATGTGGACGTGTACAGAATTGTCGAGGATGCAGTAACGTCGATGAAGTACCACGTGTAAAGCCAATTAATGTGGAACGTAAAAATAGGGAAATAAATGTCTGTGTTGTTGTTGAAACCAGCGAACCTTGGTGTATTACTAAAATTTACTCAGACACTTTTTTCAGAGGTTAATATTCAACAGATTGAATTTTGTGAGAACATGATGGAGAGAAGAGCAATGAAAATCTATTTTTTTTTAAACATTTTATTTACAGAAGAATCGACGTTTTGTATAGAAAATACAATCCATCCGTAGCACGATATAGGTCTCAGGAAAATGAGAACCTGAGTATTCCTCTGTGAGTACTCAACGTTCACAAAAAATATTTTTAAATGGGAATTTTTAACAACCTATAGGTCCTATTTTATTGATGGTAACCTAAACGGTGCCAAATTTTTAGAGATACTTCAAGAACAGATTGTTCTGGCATTTTGGCAACTGCCTGTTAATTTTGAAGACGTTTGGTTTCAACAAGACATTGTCAAAGTCATAATTTACGGACAGTGGCTGAAAATTTCGAAGCTACATTTAGTGAGCATTTAATCTCTATAAATGATTTGATCAAATGGTATCGAAGATCACCAGATTATTCATCTGTTTTTTTTTGTGGCGGTTCCTGAAAGAGACCGTGTATTGACACGTTTTGAAAGAGTAACAAATCTCGATGGATAGAGGCAGACAAGTATCCAACACTGTGCAAACAATACGCCTGATCAACTCAAATTTAGGGCAACTTGGTGCAAGCAATTATCGTCAGGGGGCGATTTGCAGACACAGGACTAAGACCACTAGTACTAAACAAGATGGTCACAGAAATCAAACACCTCGGAGTCATATTCAACCAAAGGCTGACTCTTAATCAACATCTCAAATAACTCGCATATAAAGCTAAAATAGTTCTCGTAAAGCTGTAGAAGAATATCTAGGAATAACTGGGGGCATAGGCCCCAAAATGACCATATGATTTTATACACAAGGGTAATAAGACCCATGATTACCTATGGCACAGTGATGTGGGCAACCAAAACTGCACAGGTAAGTGCAATAGGCCAATTCACCGGCTCGCCTGTCTGAGTGCCACTGGGACCATGCGTACTGCACCAACTGCAGCAATGGAAGTACTACTAAACTTCATGCCACTGCACATCTTCATACAAGGATAAACCAGGTCCAATAAGCCAACTACATATGATGACCATACCAAGTAAAAAAGATTAATATTCTATGAATGCCTACTGATATTGCCATAACCACATACAAATTTGTAAGAAATGTTCAAATTCAAATACCAGCCCAACAATTTTGAAAACAGGGACCTCCCATACAGGCTGAACTCGTCTGGTATAGACGCTTTAAAAACCTACGAAAGAGTCCGTGCTGGACTCTCTGGAGAAAACAACCATTTCACTGAGTCTAGGAGAATATTCAACAGTGTTTCAGGCTGAACTAATAGCCATACAACACTGTACAAGAGAAATAATAAATCAGCAAGTATCAGGCAAGACTATTGCCAAACAGCTATTAAGGCAATTCTTTCACCAGAAATCAAATCACGACTGGTGAAAGACTGCCTAGAAGCCCTGGCAGAGCTAAGTAGTCAAGTCAAAGTGACCCTAGCCTGTGTGCCAGGCCACGAGGGCTAGGGAAAAACTAACCCGAAAAAGCTCAGATAAGGCCATTACAGGCCCGAACCCTTCTGTGGAGTTGCTAAAGCATTGTGCAAGGCATCCATTAAACAATAAATGCAAAAAGAGTCTCAAGAAAGGTAGAACAACTATCCAAGACTGAGAAAGGCCAAACAGTTCATCAAGGAAGCACCGGCCAAGTTCACGAAACACCTACTGGATTAGAAACGTCAAATCGTTAGGATAACAGTAGTCTTCTCATAGGACATTGTCGCCTAAGAAGGCACACGAGTGTTATCAATCCAGCAGAAGAAGTAATATTGTGCAGGTTCTGTGAGGAAGTCCTGTGCCAGTGTGAGGGACTGGCTAGATTGAGGTTTCTAACATTAGGCGAAGAAACTGGAACTACATGTAGGGCCACTGTCAAAGCTACTAGTCTAATAAAAAAAGACAAAGCTCTAGATGACATACTCTAAATAACGGAGTCCCATAATAGATCTGAAAAGGTCGCGGTGGACAAAAACAAAGAATGTCCAACTCCTCTCAAATCTAATTTAATCTAGGTGCAAGCATAACTAACTGAAAGTTGATGCGTTTTTTAAATAGTTTTAAATTAGTTTAATGCATCCTTAAAAATATCGATTATATTGTCTCGATTTCTTATTACATAAACTCTGACTTAAGTAATAATAAACTATAAATTTTAGGACCCACATATGTTATAAATTTTGGACATCACGTTGAAAAGATGGAATTCTCAAATTAATCAATACTAGCTCTAGTGTTATATAAATGTATTATTGTAGTTTTTAGTTCTTACTTTTTATGTATAAGTTTGTATGCTAAGCACTTCACTATCATATAAAGGTGGGATATTACAGCTGTCGTCTTTCATATATTATTTTACTAATACGATTTTGAATTATTTTAAGAGGATAAAATGCTGCATCATATAACCTTTCCCAAATTTTTATTTTTTTAGAATTTGTCTTATATTTTTTGCAAGAATATATTTTTTAACACCATTGTTGTAAAAAAGAAATGATTGGAAATAATTAACAAATTCAAAGGCTTAACGTAAAATAACCTCATCTTAGAAGAGCTAGAAATACATTTCAACGACAACATTTTGATAATAAAATCAAAATTCATACGATTCCCCACTTTTGCTAAAGTATGTAGCAAGGCGATCAGCAGTCTTTGCTTGATACACATATGTCCCTATTATACCTTGTCGAATTCATTGTAATGTGTTTAACTTTCTATATCTGTATAATAATAATGAACCTTATTTTGTAGGCCTTGTCTATTCATCATGGCACTCTGTTCGATAGAAAAATATACTATTCGTCAGAGCGAGCGTGCGCGTGCTTATTTTCTCCCTATAGAATATAATTCTGCTGTTAACATCAGTCCCCTTTAGTCATTTTATTTTGTAAATAACCAACCTTAAAACAACACATACCGTTTACTTATGTTAGACAACCATAAGGGAAAACTTTAAATGAAAACTACGTTCCAATTGTATGAGAAAGTGATTTTACTGAGATCCCCCACTAATGGGTATTGCATTCGCGGCAAAAATTTGAAGCCAAAAACGCTGGTCAGCTTAATTGCGTTCTTGCAAAAAACTGGCTATTTAAAAAAATACAAAAATATAATTAAAACAATAAATATTTTTTTACTACAATACTACGTACATGTATGTTCATGGAGGAAAATATAAATATTCAGGTATTCAGAAACGCAAAACATGTTTGGCTAAATACACACAACCAAACTTATTTCTGAATAAACTTTTTACAAGGAAAAAATTTGCTATCCAACTTTAAGATTTGTTCAAAACAAACATGATAATAAAGAAGAAACGACTGCTGCGATTTATTATCTTGTGAATTTTGTGTTCAGAAGTAAAATCACGATCCTCCCAGTAATTTTATTTCGGTCCAAAAAAACAACAAAGTGTCTTATGTTGGACTAACAGATGTGCAGAGGGGAGGAATTATTGCTCTCATTGAACAAGGAATGTCCCAATGAGACATAGCAGAGGTAGTACGGATACTCAGGGTTTGGTATCGAAAAGATATGAAAGAACTAGAACCTCTCAAGAACAGGCCCAGACAAAGTCGTCAAAGAGACAAAACTGAACAACAGGACCGCTTTGTGTGCCAAACTGCTAGAAGAAATCCCAGTGTTTCTCATCCAGAGCTACAACGACAACTTCTGGAAGCCACAGATGTGAACGTTTCAGTTGAAACCCTAAGAAAAAGATTTCGCACTCGAGGATTGTACAGTAGGAGAGAGTTACGGGTCCCATCGTTATCTAGGCAAAATAAAATTGACCGGCTAAATTGGTGCCTTCAAGACCAAAACTGGAAAAATTGAGAATTGGCAAAATGTTTTTTTTTTCGGATGAGACCAGAATTGGCCTAAGATAAGATGACCATCGAATTCGGATTCTCAGAGCTCCAGGAAGATGAGCGAGACTCCACACTGACAGATCTGTCCCAAGATATCAAGGAGGAACTGTAATGTTCTGGGGAGGTATTATGCTGGGAACAAAAACTCCATTGTTACCACTTCAACAAACTTTAACCGACCAGAGGTATATTGATTTAGTGCTAGAACTAATCGTTAGGCTTTGGAGAGCTGCAATTCGGGATAACTTTATCTTTATGCACGATAATGCACCTCCCCATATCAGCAGAGTGGCTAGAGAATGTCTTGAAACGAAAGGTATCACAGTTTTAGACTGGCCTGCATGTTAACCAGACCTAAATCCTATCGAACACTTGTGGGACCAGCTCAAAAGAAGGATTAGAGTTCGTTGAAACAATGCAAGAAATATCGCACAGTTTACTGATGCAGCATTAGCAGAATGGGAAAACATACCTCAAGACAATGTTGACAATTTAATAAGAGCATGTCAAGGCGAATAGAAGCTTGCATAAGGGCTAGAGGTGGTAACACGGATTGTTAAATTACTAATTCTCTTTTTGCTTTTCTGCTATTAAATATGTAAATCTCATTTCGTTTCAGAAACCAAAAAAATACCATTGTGTTTATTTTGTCAACTAATTGATTATTTTTATTGCCTTGTGGGTTATTTGTCATTAAAAGTCTTTGGTAAGGACTGAGTGTTATTCATACACAAAAAATGTTCATACATCTCAAAAATTATGATTTAGATGATTTAATATAAGTTTGGTTGTGTGTACATTTATTTTACTAAGTATACAGAGTTACCTAAACATGTGGTACCTACAAATTTAAGATGTTCCTTAGGTTTGAGATGTTGAGGTTTAAGTTTTTTTTAAATCTTATTTTATTTTCAAAAAATGCTTAGCCCGACTTCATTAAAATTTTTGACATAAATTGCAGAAGCGTGCCTACAGCCCAGGTCATTTGGAATTTTACACAAAAATGATAACACCTAGTAGATTTTTGCAATATTCATAATTATTTTGAATAAAGCAATGACAAATACAACTTTTTATATCTTACTTATTTTTTTTTTTATATTTCGCTTCATTTTTTTCGTCCTGAGTTAAATTTTAGATGCTATAGTTAGAGACATGCAAAAGTTTGAATTTCTTTTCTTTTTATAGAGAATTTCTTTTCTTTTTATAGAAAACTAAGCAAAATATGAAAGCTTAAAGACAGAAGTTGTATTTTCAGTTATTTTATTCAAAACAATTATGAAAACTGCAAAAATATACTCCGAAAATAATCCAAAAATCGATTAGGGAATATGTTTGTAGAAACGTTTTTTTGTATTTTCCATTTTGGTCCTATATACCATATGTTTCTTTTTTAAACAAATATATTTTACCAGTCTTATCTTTCTGAACACCTGAATAAAATTTACATTTTTTTATACAAAATACTGTAGCAAAAATATGTTTATTAATTAGTTTCTTTTTATGTACTTTTCTTTAAGTGATTTTGCCCAAAGTTTCTTGCTTCAAATTTTAATAAATAAAATCACCTCCTCATACGATTGGACGTAAATTTTCCATTATCTAACATATATTTGAAGACGAATTAAAATGATGGTAAATAGTAGGTATTATTTTAAGGTTAATTATTTATAAAATAATACATTACGACTCAAGAGGAATGATGTTTAGAACATAATTCTAATCTTTGGGGAGAAAAATAAGTATACACAAGCACGCCCCGACGAATAGTATATTTTTTAATATGATGTAGCGTCTCTATGAATAGATACGGCCTATTTTATATGTACCAATTTTTACAAGATAGGAAATTAATTAGAGACAAAATTTTATCACCACTAAATGTATTTTTAAGTATTTCTGCACTTTTACAGTTTTTTCAATGAAATAAATTTTTTAGAAACATTTCATATCTTTTCTTCATTACATTTTATGTTTAAACAGTATTAAAAGTCTAAAAATTAAAATGTAACAAACTAGATAATTTTGAAGCACAAATAGACATAAAACTTTACAATAAAAGTACAGAAACTATTTCAGTATTATACCAATCAAAACTAAATTTTCATTTTTAGTATCCCAATTTAAACTAAATTTTCTTTCTAAATATTTACTAACTAACATCTTCCATTTAAAGTTTTAAAAGATTGATTTTTCCCCTACATTTTGTTTTCTCTTTATTTACGACAACACTAAACAATGAAATAAAATGCTATCTGGGTACGTGCATACCTTGAAGCATAGAATGTTGGGCATGCATAGGGCCGAACCATGGCTTACCTCGGGACTTCTTGCCAGTGGACTATCACATATATCCATCTCCACCTCTGAGAACAAAAAGGACCATAAAAAATATACTTACCAATGTTTTAACAATTTTCAATTATCTCGAACAATTTGAATTTGCAAAAAATATGAAAATAATTAATTTTACGATGACACTAATTTCTTCTAAATAATATTCCACCGGAGTAACAGTTGACAATTATTTTTTGTTAACTAGAATACTTACGAATACATAAACTATATCTAGATCTAATTCCTTAAAATGCCAAATTCTAATAGTATTGTATTTGATACAATTTTATTTGTTGTAATTAGTTGTACAATTTGATCATCAAGAGGTAAGTACTTAATGTCAGAAATGTATCCTCTTTTTATATTATAACTAAATTTTTAAATACAAATTTTAATGTAAATTGAAAGTTTATTATAATATTTTACTAGTAATCTGTCCACTTTTTATAAAAATGAAATAAAAATTCTTTAAAAGAGGTCTAAACAAACAAAAAAATATAGAAGGTTTTATTTACAAAAGAAGCTAAAATATTTCAAGAGAAGTTACACACACCCAATCTCTATAGAAAGCTACGTCAATATTGAATATTATATTTAAATAAACCCTCTCATGCATTTTTTAAATACGATTATTTTAAACACATCTACGTTTTTCTTATACATGTGTTTTATAATAAATCCACTTAATATCTTATGCGAATTACACAATCTGTATACATAATTCTAAAAAGAGAACTACAATATTTTTAATTATACAAATAGGTATTGACATGACCACTTATTTTAGCTATTAACATAATACAGTAACTACTTTTTAATGGAAATTACATCACTACAATCGAATGAATTGCATAATTACATTTTTAACATCGTGGTTAATGTAATTATTATTTTTAATACTTTGAACGAAGGAAATTAAAAAGGGTTCATTGTAAATTATGGTCAAATATATGCAGGACTATCTTAAAATTTTTACAATGGCTCTAGTGATATGGAACAGAACATGCAGGAATATTCCAATAGAGGAAGACAAACTGTTTACATTTTATGGACACTCAACTAGTACGAGTGACAATAGGTCCATTAAAAACCAAGGTGAATGCAACAGAAATGGAATATTGTAGTCATTGTTGCAGACATGAAAGGTCGAGTTAGGAATAAGGAGGGACGTCCTTTAATATTACTTAATTGGATCCCATCCCAAAAGACAAAATGGAGAAAAAAAGTTGGAAAGATTGTAGTACTATTTCAATGTAAAGTTGTGCATTGCTTTTTTGTGCTCAATAAAATATATGCTTCAAGACTTTGAGAACAATAAAAAATGCTTTTTATTTTCTGTCGTCTGGTTTTGCTACTTCCGGTGTAGGGATTCTGTTCATGTGACCACATATTTACTTTTTCCAATAAAATTCGAGATATAGCTCAAAGGTTTTTCTAAAAAAAGTTGATATTTTTTGTAACCTGGTGAAAAGCAGCCTATTTTATTCAAATAGGTGTAAAAGAAGCTTAATTGCAATCAACTAAAGGTATTTATTCAGTAATTTTACCCCATTTAACCTTTTATTAAATCAGATTTTAATAAAAAAAAAAAAAAATTCATAGTAGAAAAGAGTTATGCGAATGCGCAAAATTAAATTGAATACTTTGGCTGAATTTATGAAAAAAAAATAAAAAAATATAGCTAAAAAAGAAAAAATCAACAAATGACTACCGATTTTTATGTATTAACGGTTTTATTAGTAGTTTTTTAGATATTTGCAACATATTTGAGATTTTAATGGTCGAATTTTCCTTTCATATCTTATTAAAAACAAAAGTGAAAAAATCCAAAGTTTGGAAGTATTTCACAAAGATTTAATTAAAAATCTGATGTGTCCAACACATGACTTTCCTATCTAGTTATTATAGGCTTTTCCGGTTATTTTTTACAACCTATTGCAGCACCTCTATAAATGTTTAGAGGATAAACTAAATATATACATTTTCCACATACATCTACCTCGAAACATTTTTCTATAAATATTCATTGAAAACGAAAATACTAAAAAAATTAAATTTAGCACTTTTCCTACAATTTTTCCATTACGGTCCATTTTAGAAAAATCATGTATAAATAAAAATTATAGAGATCGATATCGCAAACAACAATTTTCATAAAAATCAGAATTTTGCATATTTTGTCAAATTTCTCGAATATGGACCATTTCAAGAAATTTTGACATAAAACAGAAATTATAGATAATAATATTAGAAGTAACTTCCATATATTCCATAAAATATAAAAACGGCCTCATATAAAATACCCCCAGATGTTCCGACTTTATCCAAAATCTAATCATTTCACGTCAGGCCAAAATAAAACTTAAGTTTAAAATTTAATGTTTTTTTCTTTATCCGTTTTTGAATTTTCTTCAAATTTAAAAATTTACACATTTTCTCAAATATCTCGAATACGGTTTGTTTTAGAGAAATTATGTAAAGGATAAAAATTATAGAGAATTATATTACAAACAACTTTTGTTTGAACAATTTTTATAAAAAAATATTTTTTTACATTTTGTAAAATTTCTCGAATACGGACCATTTTAGGAAAATTTTGTATAGAACAAAACTTATAGACAATAATATAAGAAGTAACTTTTATTTAAAGAATTTTCTTCCCCGAACGAAAAGAACAGATATATTCCATAAAATATAAAAATGACCCCCTATAAACTACCCCCCAGATGTTCCGACTCTGCCCAAAATCTAATCAGCTCATTGGACGCTGGAACAAAACTTAAGTTTAAAATTTATTGTTTTTCTGTGTATCGGTTCATGAGTTATGTGACACACAGACACACACACACACACACATCATCGCGAAAATAGTCAAAACGGATTCAGGGGACCTCAAAACGTAAAAATCCGTCGAAAACTCGAGGTCGAAAAAATCATGATTCCTATACTTTCCTTATATCTGTATACAGATAGGAAAGTAAAAAAACGAAACTACAAACGATTTTTTTTTATTTCAGAGGTATATCAAGATGCAGTTTCTGGGAAAACATAAAAAGATTCAGAGAAAAGAGAAGAATTACTTGTCACTACTTGTGTTGACATGTTCGACGGAAATGTAAAAATACTTTTCCAGAAAATACCTATGACTATTTAAAAGACAGCCTACTTTTTTAAATAAGAATCTTTTCGCTGACACAAAAAAAAATCCCCGCAATATCATTTTAATTTCATAAAAAACCGCATTTAAATTATATTCCGAATTACGCTGAAAAAAATAAAATAAAACCCAATCACATAGTCGCAATCCCTACACCGAAAGTAGCAAAACCAGACGGTGAAAATTACTGTTATCGGCGCCTGGAAGCATATATTTCATTGTGGACAAAAAAAAGCAAAAATTTATCGATGAGTAACTTTAGTTTGAATTGTTCACCCTCCTTCCCTCCACCAACTAGAAAGAGCGGACAATTGTAACATACTCATCAATATTATGATGGCTAAAAGCATAACAGCAGAAATTTAAGGTGCAAAGACTGATCTGTCTAATAATAACAGGCCTTTAGAAATACGCATATTAGAGCAATGGAGCTACTACTAAGTCTTCCCCCTTTACATCTTGTGGTAGAGAAAGAGGCTATGGCGGTGGCAACATACAATGATATTAGAAAAATTAAAACAAAAACTGCTGACCTACAGACAGTTCAAAGATTTAAAAAGGTACAGGAGCTAGGATTTAACATTCGTCCACATGTTGGACCTTTAGTCTAAACCTAGGGCCACTGGCAAAAGTTTTCCAAGCTGAAGTAACAGCAATAAATGCCTGTTGCCAAGACTATGCTTAAAGACTATCTTAGAGGCAAAAGAGTCTTTATTATGATACGTCAAACAGCCTCTAAAGTACTGTAAAGGGTAGAAATACAGTCCAAAGTAATATTAGCCCCTCCAGCGCTGGTAGAACATTAAAAGGTCGCTCTTGAATGGGTGCCTGGAGATGAGGGAATGTTAGGTAAATGAGAAAACATACCCTAGCTAGGAAAGGAACAGAGAAAACTCTAAATGGACCAGAGCCCACATGTTATACTTAATAATAGGCTCTGGTTGGATCTTGATGGGCTCAGCTAGTGCAGAATATTCATTAGGGTGGCCCAAAAAAAGCGAACATTTTTATTATTTAAGTCTCCTATAAAAAAAATGTTAGTTTATCATGTTTTAAGAGCCCCCTCCAAAGGAAAGCTCAAAAAAAAATTTTTAAAGGGTCGCTCCGAATTTTCAAAAAATTCCAAAATCGTCGAAAACCGGATTTTTTTGTTTTAAATTTTTTTCTCATTGTTTTATTTTTTTCTATCAGAAAAATCATAAAGATCCTGAAAATTTCAAGTCGAAATTTTATTATTGAAAGGTCGCTCCGAATTTTTCTAAAGTTTCAAATCGAGTACTTTATATCTTTTCGAGCTACTTTTGAACATGATGTTAACGAACTTTATATTTTTTTGTTTTCATTAAACTTTTTTTCGTTTCTCGTGCTTCAATTTCATTCTTTAGTATGTAAAATTAAACCTATGTAGAACATGTGACAAGGGACGAAACTCCTATTTCCATTGCCGAAACCTTGAATGGGAATGGCAGTTCAGGGTACATTTTCCGGAACCGCCTATTACATAATATCAATGGTATACAGGAATAGTGGCACAACTCAAAAACATAGATTTTCGATGACATCTACTATAAAGTTTCTTATGATCTTGCATTTTAAAAACGTTTTAATCTTTTTGAAATAAACATAAGTGTTCATCTTTTATTCAAACAATAACAAGTTTGCTTTGATGACGTTAAAAAGAAACCCAAAAATGTTATATTTTTATGTCCCTTTTGAGTTATGACGATCTTCCAGAGAAGGATATTTCACACAATACTTATTCTGCCCTGCTTAGCTAACATAAGGAAAGTTTTGAGATATTAATGATTTTGTTTTCATATTGTTCACTATGTAAATATTAGGAAGAAAATGAATGTAAGAAACAAGTGTTTCATATCTTTATATTGTAGTTAGGACGTTTTTGCATAGAAAATCATTGTAGATGCATATCTGCATCAAAAGTATGCCTTTAACTCACAAAACTAAATTATGTCAGATAAGATGTGTAAGCAGGGCAGTATTGATAATGACCTTTCAGGTATCTAATACATATTTTTTTGTTTAATTACATTATTGTTAATTTGTATTTATGAGAGCGATAAAGTCATTTAATATTATTATATCTTTATTTAAATGTGTCACTGATAAAAATAATGTTCCTAGTTTATTTTTAATAAAACTGGCATATTTTGATTTACTCACTCTAGCCGAAAATTGACAACCTTGTCTCATTGACTGTCGGAGTACAACTAGATTTGTTCCTCATACAAATGTGCGGATTTTGTTATAAAGTTGCACAAGAACGAAAATGGTAATTTTTGAGTTGTGTCACTATTCTTGTGCACCGATATATTATTGTTTTTACCCATAGCTTAAAAATTTTTCTAACATGCATGAGAGGCTTCACAAAAAAAGCAAAAATACATTTATTTATTACCGTTTTTTACTAATCTAAGTACTTACCCGGCTCAATATCGATTTCTGCTTTGGGTATCACTTTAATGGTCTCTGGTAATTCGTAGGCGTAAAGTTCCATAGCAGTTGTTGGATTGATCTTTGCTTCGTCTGATGGAATATTGCTTATTTGACTGGAAGCTATTTCCGCTACTAACAGCCTTTCAGGTTTAATACCGCAAATGGTATATAACTGCTCTTTTAATTCTATATATTTGGCTTCTGATTGGAGACGCATACCATATTTATTAGGACACTCACCATTTAATCTTACAACTGTAAATGACAAAGTTTTTTAGAAAATATAAGTCTTATGTTGAAAAATGTGAATTTAGTTAGTCACTTATACAGGGTGTTTATTAAACAAACGGCAAAAATTCAAAGGGTTCCCTGGACTATTCTAAGAATATTTTGTCCTTTGATGATTTTTAAGAAGGCAATTTGTCTTAAAGATACCGGACGAATAAATTTTCATTACCAAAAATTACATATGAAGAAAGCAAGAGTTCTGTAATTTTTGATAACAGAATAGAATTTATTGATCTCATAAGACAGGTTAAATATGAACTAATTAAAATGTCTAGCTAAAACTAGAACATTTAGTTTAACCTTTTTAGTGTCAAAATTGTTTTTTTTTTGTATACCGTAAATTGACAAAGAAAACTGTGCATTTTAAATGATTTTATCCCAAATAAGTATTCTAGCAGTATTGACACTTCTGGGCGGGAAAAAGACGTGCAGCTGTTACTGTGCTGACGTTTTCGGGATATTTTCTATCACTTGTCATTAAAAACTCGCTACCATGCGCAGGCAACCCATATTTCGTACCCAAACTAGAAACTTTTGTTTACATTTTATCCAAGTAGTTTTTAAAGCTTAAAAACGGAAAATCTGTTATTGTGATAGTGGATTTAGATCAAAAATACCACAAATACACTTCAGTGTGTGTGTTTTATCCTTATTGTTACATGTTATTGCTCTTTTTATATGAGGACATTGGAATAAATAGAGTCCTAGAAATAATCAAGCGAAAAAGGTGTTATAATTCGACTGATTTATGTCTAATATGTTTTCGTTATTTCCAACATGGCAGTTACTTGAATGGTTGTAAATTTATTTATTTATTTATACGGAAACTCCATTTTTACAATTTTAGTAGAATAACAAAATATATCAAAATTTCATAAGTGATAGTAACACAACAATATCACATTTATACCAAAACAACCTAATTTAATTTAGTTACATAATTTTGGAAATGTTTTTTAAACTGATGAGATCTGAACTTAAAAGGATCGATATTATGTTCATTGTATAATCTACACATACGGGTGAGAGGGTTGTGCATGGCGTAGTTTGTGTTATTGGTGGGAATGTAAAAAAGATCATTATTTCTAGTTCGACGCGTGGTCGAAAAGTTAATTAAATTTAGCAAACAATCACAGTTAATACTTCCCATCAATAATTTGTATAAAAAGCATATGGAAGACTGCGCTCTCCTGGACTCCAATGTAGAAATCGCAAGGCGATTTAGTACAGGCTCATAATCAATATAATATGGATTTTGTGCATCGGTATGGACATTAATATTAAAACGCCAGGCAACAACATGCAAGAATTTATTTTGAACTCCCTCCAGAGCAGATACATGCACCTGATGATAGGGTGACCATACCACAGATGCATACTCCAATAGAGATCTGACAAGGGAGCAATACAGCAATTTAAAGGCGTTTATAGACAGGTCAACGCTGTTTCGTGTTACAAGGCCAAGCATTCGTGCAGCGCTGTTAACTACCATGCCAAAGTGTTCTCGAAAGTTAAGATTGGAGTCTAGAATCACGCCGAGATCCTTAATTGAACCCTTAATAGTTAGCGCTCGGTCATTTAAGACATATATATATATATATATTTGTTATGGGCACTGTTCTTCGTGAAAAAGTTATAGAGAAACACTTATCAATGTTCAACTGTAAACCATTGTCTCGGCACCAAGCACTAAGTCCATCTAGATCACTTTGTATTAACATGCAGTCGGATGGTTCCGAAACCTCTTTAAATAATTTTAGATCGTCCGCAAACAATAAAAATTCTGAATTAACAATCGCATTACCAATATCATTTATAAATAAGATAAACAGTATGGGGGCACAGTGAGAGCCTTGCGGCACCCCCGATGCCACCTTTATTTCAGCCGACAAAACATTGTTAACACGGACAAACTGAAAACGATCCTTTAAGAAACTTGCGAACCATGCGACCAAGATCTCACCCAAACCCAGCGCTTTTAGCTTAGCAACCAAAATTCTATGGCTAACCTTGTCAAACGCCTTGGAAAAGTCAGTATAAATACTGTCAACCTGAAGTCGCTTCTCCAAGGCGTTCAACAAGTAATTTTCATAAACCAACAAATTGGTCGTTGTTGATCTACCCTGAGCAAACCCATGCTGTTCAGGTAGAAGTGATAAAAACTTTTCTAGTGCTTTGTGCTTTCTTTTTTGGAATCAAGCCAGCAGTAGTAGCAACAGCATTAACATTGTCTACATTCCACCCATTTACATGTACATGATTTATCAGCTAAAAGCAGAACACAATAGTTCTCTACAAAATGTAAACAACGCTACAAAGAAAATTGCTCAAGTACCTATGAATTCAACAATTAAGTCAAAGTATATTATTTTTAAAGGACCTATATCAACTATTATGTTAATTATAAATATTTGTAACAAAATAGTAGTTGTGTAATAATGAACCTGTCGATACACCAAAAAATATATTCTTTATTGATAATTAGGTATCAAAAATGTGTGTACCTATATAAATTTGTTGAAATATGTTCTATTCATCTAAATCTTTTTAATGAGTTCCTATTATAGTTGTAAATAAATGTCAACCCTTTTAAGCCGTATATTTAACACTAGGTAATAATTTAGTTATACATGTTACATGCATATTTTAAGTCATAAGGATCCGTACCCTCTTAATTTTTCATTAGACACAAGACCTGTGACGTCACTAAATCGTGAATATGAGGTAAAGGATTTGAGAGTTGTCTTTCAGTCTAATTTGTTCAATAACTATTTCTTACACATAACTAAAAAAACAATAAAAGTTTTAGATTTTTAAATCAGTAAAACGAAAAATTAGAATTTCCACCAAAATCAGATTATATAATGCCTTAGTAAGAACCCAACTAGACCATGCTTCACAAATATTGAAGCCACAGATATTAATAATATTAAAAAAGTAAAAAAATATTTTTACGATACCTTTATGCCATAAAAAACAACTCATCCTCATAAAAATTATTTAATGTAGATCCAAGTAGTATATCTCCTTTTAACAAGATGAATTTCTTAGCGAGGTCCAAACAGATATTAAAGTTTGTTTTGTTTTTAAATTTCTTAACTCTAGGGTTAGGTTTGGCCTAAAACCAGGGGCGGCTTGTGACCAAAATTTTGGGGGTTCACAGTAGCAGAAAATAGATCCCGGTACAGATATAGGTAAAAACTGTCAGTGTTTTAGAAAGGTATATTATAAACTTTCTAAAACACTGAAAGTTTTTTTTATATATCTGTACTGATACCTATATTTTGTCACTGTGAACACCCAAAATTTTGACCACAAGCCGTCACTGCCCAGAACACTGCCGCCTCTTGTGTTTATAGTATTTAGTATTCCCTGCTTTCCCAGTATTCAGGTACTATCTTTGGAGTTGTCCTGTGTCTTTGGTTAGTTTTAATAAGTTCCCTACCAAGTGTTCCTGGGGCGTTCCTTCCGGTTCTAGGCCGAAAAGGATGAAACGTCGCCTAGTAAGAGCTTCGCATTCGAAGATCACATGGTATGAGGTTTCTTAGTCTTTCTCTACATGTAACTACTATCAATTTTTTATAGTGTTTGTAAAGTATCCAATAAATAAATTATACCTTATGGCTAATTTCAAACAACTATGTGTGTATTAACTTAGTTTAAAGTTAAATAAGTGAGTTTAATAAGAATGTCAAATAGTGATATGTATTAGGCATTTCCACGACCGGTCAAACAATAGCTGAAAGTGGGAAGGTCACGTATATCTAAGGGGTTAGTGACATAATCTTGCATCTTGGACGCTATTTTTATTCGAAATAGTAGTCGCCAAGCCTGCCTATTTATGACAAAATGTATAAGCGTTTTTTTTTTTAATATGTTCGACTTAAAATATTTAAATTATTTTACGTATTGCAGATAGAATACATCATATGTCGCAACCCTTAGATATACCAAACCTTTCTACCCGTATTGCCAACCTAGGGGGTTTGTCTTTTTTAGTAGATCACAAGCAAACATTTTAATGATTTCATTATTCATTTGTTGCCCTTTCGAGCGTGAGTTTTGTCATCTGTATAGGAGAGTTGGTAAGTTTGGTAAGATCCCAGTACACTGTTTTAAGTATAATTTCACTTTTAGCGGGGAGTTTAGTGCTTTTAGCGGATTCTAGCGGTTTTAATATACCAATCTAGCGGAGTTTTCGCAACACTGCTTCCTACTAGTAATTAATTTGTTTGGAAGGCCTAATTGTGTCTATGAATTTGTTATGTGGAGTAAATGGCCATTATACATAACTTTGATATTTTTATTACAAATGTAAAAACTACGAAAGCCATATACACAGTTCCCATTTTTAAATAAATTCATAATAAAAAGTAACGATTTTCGTTTGTCATAGTATAACTATAACTAATTCACAAAAGCCAAGTCAGTAAGTATTAATTTGTAAAAAAACTACACTAAATATGTCTTCTCTATAGGTACCCTATACACTGTTCTACCAAATTTTTTATATATAAAACTACATATTTTCCTATAGATTTTGCAGTACCTAAATAACGTATAGAATTAAATTCTACAACAGACCAGAATAGTTTTAGATTATGAGCAATTCTTAAGAAATAAAGAAAAATCACTATTGTGTTAGTCTAAGCTTGTGGATTTTAAATATTTCCCTTGACAAACTAACGTTATATTTTGAACTAAAAGTAATTCAACTTTTCACCAAAAACTAATATTTCATTTTCTAAATCCAAACATTTTTGACACTCAATGACATATAAAAAAAATTAAAACGGCTCTGTCCTTTTTATATTTGCGAAGACTGTCCTGATATCTAATTGATTTCCTTCTTCAAAGTAGTTAAGTTGTCTGTATGAAGGTATAATACTCGTACATCTCACTCTTACACACGAATTTTAAAAGCTGCAGAACAATAATTCAACTAACCAGGTGCAACCAAGTCTGTGTAAACAAAACTTTTCATATCCTGAAAACTTCCAAGTGTCAACTAAAATTTCTAGTTTTAAAGATCAAACGTGTCGCCTCAGAGTGCCAATACTGATTAATACCTATACCGGGATTTTATGTTGTTATGAAAAAATATTTAATCTCTGAAAATTTACCGATTTATAAAATTCTTTCAATGTTCTCTTCATCAGGTTTTGTATTACAATAATAAATGAACACAATACTTTATTGAAAAAGATAAAGGTAGATAAAACTCTCCGTGGATCACTCGAATTATCATCGATTTCAGACATTTTTAGGGTTTAATTTTTAAATAAATTAAAACTTTTAATAGTTCGTTTTGACAATTAAATAGCTAATTTTAATATGATAATACTTAAATCAAAGCGCCCTCGGCACTATAACGGTTAACATATTAATATTAATTCATAATTAAGGTTAACAAATACAGTAATGTGCAATATACTATATACAAACGGAAAAAAACCAAGGAACTTTTTATTTATACAAAAAGATATACAAAAAAATATTATAAAAACTAAAAACACAGATACGTGAAACAATCAAAAATTGGAATCAAACAATGTGTTGCAGTTTAGACATGATTCACTAAGATAGTTTTTAGTTTTCTCAAGTTAATAAAAACAGGTCAACATGAATCTACAAATGAGATGTTTGAAATACACCTTAGACTTCTTTTCTGTGAGAAAAAAACATCTTTAGCATGAGGAGAACTCCCTTAAATACAAATGCCATAACTAATCCTGGACTATAGTTCAATAAAATAAAGTGAATGAATGTGATTATATGTTTTCCTTAAATTTAGAAACATTTAGAATTTAACATCTTCGGTAAATTCAAACAGTGGGTTTTAAAGGACTTTATCTGTTTTTGTTTCAGTTGTTGATTAATACATCGATGTTAGTGGACAAAGTTTTTTGGCGAGGATCAAATGAAATTCGTTTTAGTTGCATTAAATAATAAGGATTGCTCACTAGACCAGGCAGAAAATTTCAATACCGCATTCATAACGTTGACCCTTAAAATGTTTGCATCTTTAATTACAAAACAGTAAATTTTGTTTGTTAATTTTGATGAAATAAATCTAAATCTATCCAACTTGATCTGCAACCACCTGCATACTTGTTGGATCTTCCTTGATAACATTTAAAATGTGTTTTTCACGCACTTCATTTTCAATTTACCATACTGAACAATTTAAATTCACTATTATAGATAAACACAACAGAAATCGCAAGCGGTGGCTGAATTACAATAACCAGTAAGTATACAATGAATCATGATTCATAAGAAAAACCAAAAAAAGTTAAAAACATAAACAGACTTAACGTTTCATACACCTAGTTCAAACCCAGATTTAGATTTTTAATTCTGTATCTTTTTATTTTTTAGTTTTTTGAAAGTTATTTGAAAAAGATGTTTATTTTAACGACTTCTATACACAGCTATTATCAAATTATCAATTTAGGATTCACCCTGTATATTTATTGTTAAGTCCAACGGGTGGTACCGGCGAATCTAACGCATTAGAAACAGGGCGCGCATATCAAAAATATTTAACTTACCTACAACTTCACAAAGAGTATAACTTTCCATTGGTAAAGGCAAACTGAGTACATTGAAGATATCGAATCGTACCGATTCGTGTCCACAAGTTTGACAGGTAACCTGTAAAAAGTGGAAAAGTAAAACAATGGGGAAAAATTAGGCGAGTCAATTTGAAAAAATAAAAAAACTCGTCCGTGAAAATTTTAATACTCTAGTTACGAGTTCTAATAAAACTTACCTTACTTTTGAGCTGACCATAAAATAGGTCAGTGATAATAGAATGGTCCCTGGATAAATGTTGTTGCCAACCCTCTTCCGCAACTATTTCATCTGGTCTACCATTACTATCTTTCAGTTCTGTGTACTGTTTTATCGCTACTCTATTTAAATCTTCGTGTAGAGCATCCAACAACCACGCTAAGAGCTCCTGGAAAATTTTAGAAGAAACTTTTTTTATTAATCATTTTTTATTTTAATATATAAAGAAAAGAAAAAGTATCTGTTGTTGGGAAATGAGATGGGAAGTATTCTACACATGCTGTGCGTTTCCGACTAAGTTGAAGAAAGAACAGAATAGAACCAGCTAAAAATATGGTAATAGAAGTAGATGAAAAGATACTAAGTACATGATAATGACTTTTAAAAATCCAAATAGGAGCCAAATTTCCCATCAATTTTTTAAAGTGAAAGAAAGGGTTATCTGGGAAAGATGAATAGCAAGAATAACAATCTCTCTCCAATTCACTTCCTTATGAGAGTATCTTTTGCCATACATGTTACAAAGAAGCTGAGCCAGACAGAAATCATTAATATACTTTTATCTTTTTTTAGTGCTCACTTTTAACTTTTTGATATCCTTATTATTTAAGTTTACCTGTGAATCATGCTGACCACCATCCTGGAAATTCGCAGAATGTTTGGTAACGAGATACCTCAACTTAAGCGGCGCAACACTTCTTGTAGATCCGGCCCATAATTCTCGACAAAGTTCGGCATATCGTCTGGCCACTTGTCCCTTGGATCCCGATGGATTGCTAAGGTTTAGTTCTGATAGTAAATTATCTCTTTGGAAATATAGCGTTAACGGTCTCGTATTGGATACTGCTTGAAGGGCCGCATTCATAAAACAGGTGTTTCCCAAGTTGTGGAGCCCAGTTGCACCTGAAAAGAAACAGAATATTTAATTAATGTGAATGACAATAATTATTACTGTTAGTACTTACAGTCTAAGAGCCACTGACAAGGCTCAAAATCTAATATTAAATATAAACTATTATTAAATTTGTCAAGGGGGCTCTCCGACTATTAGAACTGTTGAAGTTATTTACGTCGTACCCTGTATATTATTTTATTTTCGATAAAGGATTATTATTGTTGCTTACCAGGTGGAAGACAAATTGTAGGCCTTCTCTCCACACTGAGTCCGACCTCATGTCCTCCACCAGCTACCAATTGACCCAACTCCTCAGGCCAAGTCAGATCTTTATTTCTAACTTCTAAAAGCACTTGATCTGCGTCCATGATACCCAATTCTTCCAGAGAAGCATTTTCGTCGTCCATGAGACTCGCCGAATGCTCTCGCAGCAACCAAAGTCTCGCATCTTCTGGTCTAAGGTTAAGGCGGTGACAAAGGAAATCGGTGACTTGTTGGATGGTCGCAAGACGGGAAAAAGCCGCCGTGTGTGCCAAATACCGACGAGTTCCGGCATTTACAGTCGAAGTTAGACCAGCGGTACTTAAAGCGGCTGCTCCATAACTAATAAAAGATATTTGAGTGAATTAAAATTTTAAATGTTAACAATTTTAATACTTACCCTCCAACAACGCTACTCCACGATGCAGTGCTTATCCTTTGTTGAGCATGATGTCTTAGAATTTTTAAATTTATGGGATATAATTCTAATTCAACTTCCGTCCGTCCTGGTGGTAAAATAACTTGTCTCGGAAGCGGTATTAAACCTCCGTACCACATAGACAGAGCTTTCCATAGAGATTCAGGCACCAATTCAAAGTCTCTATTTTGGACTAAAGGCATATCACGTTTCAGTCGGCCTCCTAAAACCAAACCGTGTCATACGAAATAAATAATCCAAGCTTGTACAACTCCTAAATCCGAACTTGATTTAGCTGAGGCCATCGAAAGAACATTTACCATAAAAAAGTATGTAAAGCATTAGGCAAATATAAATATGATGATAATCCTTTTTAGATTACTTTACTGTCTCAAATTACATAGTTCGAAATTTTAATTATAGATATAACTATGTAGCTATATTTGAGAGAGAGAGAGAGAGAGAGAGAGAGAGAGAGAGAGAGAGAGAGAGAGAGAGAGATATGCTTTATTGTCGTAAAAAAATTTACAAAAATTTTATAGACAAAGCGTGTAACTTAAATACTAAACATATTATAAAAATAACTAAACAGCAGAAAAAACAAACAGAAACAAACAGACAAAATAGGAATAACAATTGCAATGGATATGCAATATCCGTCATTATAATTATTCTAATTTAATTTTTAAATTTAAATTTAAACTTTAATATTTAATTAATGCCATTGTATGTGGAACTCAAATGTCTAAGGTACGTTATAAAATTCTGCTACTGTGTAATATGGTCTTTCTAGAAGAAAAGCTTTAGCCAGTCTTCGGAACTTATCGTATGTATTTATAGATTTTAATTGCATCGGAAGGTTATTATACAATTTTTTGGCATTGTAGGTAATGGAATGTTTTAATAGGTCAGAAGTGGGCATTGTTAAATAAACATCAGTCTCTAAATTTCTTGTAGGATATCTACGAGTCGGTCTTTCGGATAAATTTTGAATGTGCTTGCGAACTAAGCAGACGGATTCGAAAATAAATAGAGCAGGAAGGGTTAGAATTTTGAAAATTTTGAAGTAATTTTCGCAATGTGTCCTACTACTTAAACCAAATACATAGCGCATTGCTCTTTTTTGCAGTTTAAAAATAGATTCGAAAAGGTATAAGCTACAAGAACCCCAGAAAGGTAAACCATAGCGAAGGTGAGATTCGAATAAGGAAAAGTAGGTTATTAATGCAGTAGAAGGAGTCAGCTCTTTAGAAACCGATTTAATGGCAAAACATGCGGAGGATAATTTTTTTGCTGAGCAGACCATTTTAGAGAATCGTCTATATAAAGACCTAAAAACTTGAAAACTTGGCTTTGTTTTAAGATATAACTCTGACACAAAATGAATTCGAGTAATTTTAAACAAATGAATTTTTTAGAATTTTCAATTATAAACTTTTTTTTAACTCTTAAAACAATTTTATATAGTGGATATGTCCTCCTCTTGCTCGTATTACATTTAAACAAAGACGTGGCATACTATTGATTAAATGCCGAATTCTTTGTTGAGGTATCTGCTCCCATTCCCAAAAGTAATAAATGATCGATTGTTTGGATTAATTTGTAAAATATGTAATATTTATAAAATTTTATGACTGAATTCTAGGTTAATTAACAGCAATGTCGGTAGGCTGAAATTAAAAGTTAAAGTTGTGTATCCTTGGCATATAATAATGACTATAATGATACCGTAAACATGAGGTTATAATACTAGTATAGACACTGAAAAGTAGTGGTCCTAGAATAGACGCCTGTTGTTTAGATTGGTCCAAATTAATTTAAATATTCATTTATTTATTTATGGCAAGCACATTTCAATTACAATTTAAAAATTAATTAAAATATCACAAATTCATATGGTGATGTAGCACAAACAAAGACATTATACATGTCATACAATTTAGGAACATTTAAAATAACAAAATAGGTTAGTCCAAGATTAAAAAAGAGAAAATACAGAGTAAACCATTAGCGTTAAAGGTCAGTAATAAATAATTGAGTTTTGAATGATTGAATAGCCTGAGATCATTGTGCAAGTTAGCTAATCTAGGCTTTCTTGGAAAGCATCTGTTAAAAGCTTGGTTTGTTCTATAAAAAGGTACATAAAATGTTTGCAGTTGCCTAGTTGAACGAGTTTGAACAAAAATATTTATTTTTTCAAGAAGTTCAGGACAACTGCATCTACTATTCATAATATTAAATAGTTTCCAAGGGGGAAGTTCAGAAACTGTTCCATGAAATCATATTCACAATAAATACCCAATTTAAAAGCTATATGTCTGAGAACATTGTCTATTTTCCTACTATATAACATAGTCTGGAGACCATACAGAAGAGCAATAGTCAAGGTGGGATCTGACTAGTGAACAATAAAGAACTTTAATTGCAGTTGTGTTAGTAAAATCATGGGTCAACCTTTTGATAAAAATGAACATTTCCATGGATTTGTGGATAGCAGCAGATGTGTTGATTAAAGCTTAAAATGGGACCAAGAATAATTCCAAGGTCTCTAATTTGATAAACAGAGTATAAGATATGCCCATTTAAGTTATAATCAAATGTAGTTGGAGGTAGGTGGGAACAATAAAAAAGCATATGACATTTATTGGCATTCAAGTCCATGCCATTTAGAGAAAACCATTCTAATAAATTATCGAAGACAGACTGAAGTCTATGGGCAGGCAACATTATGAGTTTTAACAATTTGAAAAAAATGTAAAATAATCTGCAAATAATAAAGCATCTTTGTTATGGAAACAATAAATTCCATCATTAATAAATTAAATACTAAAGGTCTTAAATATAACCCCTGAGGAACACCTGAGATTACTTGAAATAAGTTAGAATAGTGGTGATTTCTAACCATTTGAGTTCTATTAGTAAAATAGCTACCAATCCATTGCAGTAATACCCCACCCAGGCCATATTTGTTAAGCTTTTGAAGTAAGAGAGTATGGTTAAACCTGTCAAAAGCCTTAGAAAAGTCAGTATAGACTGAATCCATTTGTAAGTCTTTATCCAAGGCTACTGACAAGAAGTCGATATAACTGACTAAATTTAACTGTGTTGATTTTCCACCACAAAAACCATATTGATTTTCAGTTATAATGCCGGAGCAGTCATAAGTAAGGTAATCAGTTATGTTTTCAAACAATTTAGGTATTTTGCTGAGAATTGGAGATTTTCTATCAGATTTGTATATTTGGATGACATAAGAAGTTTCTAATATTCAGGGAAACTCTCCTGTGTCGATTGATTTATTGAAAATATGAAAGAGAGGGCGAGTCAGTATAAATCTGCAATTCCTTAATATGATGAGAGGAATAATTTCATGACCTGGCTCTTTTTGTATCAAGGTTTGACAAAAATTTATCAAAAATGGTTTACATTGGGATGTAGTATGAGGAAACATTAACTTTAGATTCAATTTAGTCAGCGTTTAAATTTAGGACATGTGTGGTGTAAACTGAAGAAAAATGCCTTGTAAACAGATTTGCTACATCATTACCACAACATGCAAAAGAGTCCTCCAAATTCACTTTATCTGGGGTACTGCTATTTGCTCTTTTACTATTTACAAAATTCCAAAAGGCTTTAAAATTAGTCTAAACAGAGGTTTCAACAGAACATATTATATAATTTGAATAGCATTCTCCAGATAGAAGCTTACATTTTGTGCTCTCAGCTGACTAAATATTTCATAATTTTGGGGAGTCCTGTTACATTTATAAATAATCCTATGAGCGACCTTTTTATCATCAACCAAGCTCCTAAGCTGCGAGGAAATTTGTTTTCAAGATAATTTCTAATTAGATAAATAGCACTATTAGCAAATCCAATAAAATGTAAAATAATATACAATATTTCATGACTAATGTCAAAAGCTTTGGAAAAATAAATTTCTTAAAGATATCATTTTAATATTTAACAAAGCGGTAGTACAGCTATAACTCGCTCTAAAACCCGATTGGTTTGTAAGTAAAATTAAGTATTTATCTTGACATATAAATTTGATTGAAAAACATGATAAAATACTAATTGGATGCAAGTCATATGCTATTACATTGTCTTACATTTATTGAGGTAAGTTTATTGGTCGAAGTGAGAGAATATTCTAAATAAATAAAACTTTATTACCCAACAAATACATGCACAATGGGCCTAATGAGGCCTAAGTGCCGTGGGGGTAACTACACATTACAGATACCCAACAAATACGATTTACAAAACAAACGGTTTATAAGGAGACAATTGTAGATTTGATAATGGTTTTGAAATTGCAAAAGTATAACTTAGTACTAAAGAAAACTTGAAATTGGAACAATGGTTCCTAATCCAGTTCAGAAGGATAGAGAAAAAATTTTAACTTGAAATTGAAACTTCTCATGGTCCTCACTAGCCAGACTAAGAACTAGTGATTGCAATTTTTATAGTTATCAAATCGCCTTTTTTTAGAATATATCCTTTCTTCAACTATTACAATTCGTTGTTTTCTCTTTTCATCTATCAGGTTATTTGTATGACTATAATTTTTTAGAAATTCGCTAGTTAATTAAAGGTTCCATATATGGTATTTTAGCACCTTGAAGCAATAAACATTATTAAAGGTAAACAATATTCAAATTGATAAATTTTAATCTAATTCCGTGTTGTTAAATAACAACACTAAACAATAAATCATTAAATAGAGTTTAACATAACCCTAAAATATTAAGTTTCAAATTTGTTGTACCAAAGTGCTTTAAAGTTTGCCATTAAAATTAATAGTTATTAATAGAATAATCCAAGTTGAAAATAAAACAGTAGGATGATTGAACTGGCCTTGCCACCAAAATAATAGATAAGTAAGTTAATTCCCTTATCTAATAACTTGAAAAACCCGGTTGTTTGTTAACGAATTAAGGTTAAGGTTAAGTTAGAGAATATTGGTTTTGTCTGGTGACGTAAATTCAAATTATTTGTGATTGTAAAAGTAGATTTTGCAGACAGTTTGTTTAATATACAGTCAGATTCCTATAAACAATCATTGAGGTAACCAACCTGTTCAAATAAGTAGTTCAGAAATCTGTTACATTTCATTAAACAGGTATATTTATACAAGATATATTACTTTCGGATTCAAGAAATAGAGAAAATACTATATTATAAATGCCAGACTAATTAAATTTTGAAACTAACCTTCGCCAGTTAATGTCTGAACTTTGCACATGGGTTCTGCTATTAAACTGGAATTGTCAATGGAACCTGGTTGGCCTATACTCCTTTTTCCTCCCGTTCCTGAACTGCTTGAAACTCCAGAGCTGGACGATATGCTGCATCTTCCAAAAGAGAAAAATAAAAATATTTCTATACAAACGATTTGTTATATTTTATATAGTATGTAGTCAATATTTCTTCCGCTGATAATTTAAAATAATTATTTGATATTATTTTGAAACACTTGCACTACCGTCTCGATTCGCAAATTGGCTACACATGAAAAAATACTTGACAGTTAGACTTTGTTTGCCTTAAGAACAGGTCAGACACGTCATCAATACCCCGCCTACTACAACCCCTTGGATTACTGAATGACCACTGTTACTATTATTCTACAATGGCAAAACAAATGGATAATTTATTATTTTAATTAATACTTTTTTCTTGCTTTTCCGTTGTGCAATTTAATGTACAATATTATAAGGGGTGTCAATTTTAAAACTTTGGATTGGCTATAGTTCTGAAGATTGCATTTTTTTTTAGAAAACACAAAAACTGTTTCGACCGTCTAGTAGTGACAGCAGTTTTCTTGACTCCAAGCAGGGTAGGTAGCCTAATTCCATAATTTCAAATGAGAGCTGCGTACAAAAAAAAAGAAACTTATTTTTTGAAATGTTATAGCATATCGAAAAAAAAAAAAGGTAAAAATATTTAGAGGAACTGTACAAACCGTTTTTTTTTTGTTTATAAACATAATAGAAATAGACTAACTTCAACTTCACCATATAGTACAAGATGATCAGATCCAATATTCATAAAAAATAACTGATTGGGCTGGTATTCTAGGGTATCAAACATGCTATAACTTTTCAAAAGAGTTCCAACAAAAACAATTTAATAATATGTTCTATATTAACACCAATAATACCATTATTAATAGGATCAAAATGGCTAATTTGTGGGAAGAAACAAGACCAAATAATAGTGATGTAATATTAAAGACAAAAAAGGGCTATCTGCTAAAAAGTGATACTGCTAAAGCAATATTAGAAAATGCAGTAAAGATCTTAAAAAATACCAATAAAATTATGGAATATAGCGCAACAATACCCTACAACCAAGCTTCAAGAGATAACAAAATTCCAGCGACTCAAGTCTACTCTTGTGTTATTGCCTCTGTCGAAAACGAAATATCGGATGAAGAAATCTCACAAAAAATGATTTCATCTAGAGGGGAATTCCACTACTGTAAACGAATCATCTCAAAAAAGACAGACACTCAAACTTCATAAGAATTATCACAAAAAATCTAGAATTTTATGAAAAACTTCTCTCTGAAGGATTACATTACAAATCCCGCCATTATGCTGTCTATACGAGCTCTCCGTCGCCCCCAGCCCCAATGCCATGCAATAAGTGTTTGAAGTTTTCCCATTCAACAGAAAACTGCACAGAAACAACAAAATGCAACAAATGTTCTGAAGCGTATTCCACGAACAAGTGTCCAACCACGCTTCCCCAAAATGCAGTGGATGTGGCCCAGAAGATCATCAAGCTTGGTCATTTAAATGTCCTAAAAGACCAACAAAACCAATAACAGGAATTCCCAACTTACCAGTAAAAACATTAAATAAAAAATCTGACCAAATTAAGGACAATATGAAAATGAACAAGAATCCACTCCCCAATAACAGTTCATGACATAATAATACATTCTTACATACAAGCTAAACAAACCCAAAAACATCAACAGAGAGGAGTTAATAGAAAGACTACGAAAAAGATTCATGGCGGAAAACAGAATAGATACCACTGTAACGTTTGTGGAAAACAACTGGATTTACATCTTGATGTTTGACATGGAACTAGACAACTTCGAATCTCCCACTGAAACTATACCAGGATCGCAAGTAGCTCACATTCAACAACGAAATTAAAATATTATACACTAATATAAACAGTTACTTTCAAAAGAAATATTTAGTGAACTATGCGATAGAAGGGAAGTTAATAGACTGTGCCCTATTTGTAGAAACTAAAACCAATGCGGAAACCAACACCAACTATAGAAATTGGGATGTAGTAAGACCCGACGGAAATATTCTAAACCAAAATATAAGAGGAGGATCACTTATGAAAATAAATCCAAAGCTAAAAATGCGACAACAAAACCCGCCCTGCATAAAAGATCACCGAAATGATGCTCTACACGTCAGTATCCCTTTCAATGATGACGAACTACACATTATTTTGATATACAGCCACCCACATGCTTCAACCGACTATTCTATCTTCAGAATGGCAGGAAAATTCAAATAGGTTGTGCTAATCGGTGACTTCAAGCACCGCTCTCCAGACAAATTAAGACAGATTCAAACTTTTATGCATAACACAAACTTTATTGAAGCGGATACTCCCCCTACTTTTTTGATGCCCAACAATGAGAACTCCACCCCAGATTTGTTAATGTACACTGACAATCTTAGCAACGCAATCAAGAATATAGAAGTAATCCCCTACATTGGGGCAGACCACCATTCTATAATGTTTACTATCGAGCAAGGAATGCCCCCTCCTTTTGCAGACCCACCTCTTAAATATCATTTCAATAAATCAAACATTGAAAAAATAAATAAAGAAGAAAACCAACTAATTTCAAACAAGACTAATATTACTATCAATGAAGTCAATAACTTTCACACAACGGTCTCCGAGATTATCACAAACAACACATCAAAAACTGCAAACAAATATTTTACTTATGAACTTCCTAGATACATCGTAAAACTCAAAACGTAAAATGCTCAGAGAATACAGACAAAACCCTAGTCGGGAAGTCAAAACAAACATCAACAATTTTAACAGACATTCAAAAATTAGTAAAACAATTTCAGCAACACACATGACTACATACCTGCCAAGAAATCAATCGAGAACAAAGAAGAAACTTCTATCATAAAATAATTAAACTGTCAAAATATAAATCAAGGAATAAAATTCCAAATATGGTGACGGAACCTTTTTAAAAAGTGAAATATTTGGCGGAGCCCTAAACACATTTCGGAAAAGCCCTCCTTGCTCTAGCTTCTTGCCAGGTGCCATCCGTTTCTTTGCGGAGCCCCTACAAACAAAAATTCTCAAAATCATATACGCCTTTCTCTTCCTGACTTCTAAAAAAAAAAAAGCTCATCAAACCAAATTCGTTAACTGTTTCCCCTACTTGGCTTCTAAAAAAAGGTCCTCCTACCCAAAATCTCAAAATCATTTTCCTCTACCTGGCTACCTGGCTCCTAAAAAAAAGGTCCCCAACACAAAATACCGAAACCTGGCTTACCTCGCATACTCCCTCAAAAAAAAAAAAAAAAACAAGTCCCGTTATAGCGATAGGTACGGCTTTTTTGTTATTTTCTTTGCGGAGCGCCCACAAAGGCTTTCCGGAGCACACTTTGAGTATCGCTGGTATAGACTATGCCACAGATGAAGAAAAGGCCGATGCATTCAAGGAGAACTTCATTAAAACATACAACGGAACGAAAGACCCATCTTTTAAGCAAGAAAACTGGAATAATGTAAACTCATGGCGCCAACAATATTTTAGAAACAACCCAATCAATGAGGAATTCTAGGAGGAAAAATACTTTCAAATACTATCCAATCAGAAAAACTCAGCTCCAGGATCGGACATGATCCCCTGGCAAATTGTGAAAAAAATAGAATATAATGTACATATCTACATTATAAAAAATGTTTGTATTCTGTTACAAAAACTCGTACTTTCCAGATCAATGAAAAAAAGGCACCATCATAGTTATCCCAAAACCAGGCACAGACCGCAAAACAACTGATAATTACAGACCAATCACCCTTCTTCCAGTTTTGGGAAAACTATTCGAAAAACTTATTAAGTTCAAACTATCAGCATTAGTAAACGAACGAAATCCGCAATTTCAATTTGGGTTTAGAGAACAAATCTCTGCTCTGGTACCAACCACTCTGCTGGTTTCCAATGTGCAAACAACAAAATTGAACAATAAAAATCTGCAATTCTCCTGTTGGACATTAAAAAAACCTTTGACTGTGTCTGGCACAACGGCCTCCTATTTAAAATAAAACTTCTTAATGTGCCTGATGGTCTCATAATTCTTATCAAAAAACTTCCTTCAAAACAGAACTCTAAGAGTTAAAATAAATAACCATACATTTCCAAGTTTCATAGCAAATCAAGGTGTACCGCAAGGGTCGCCACTATCTCCGCTCCTTTACCACATATATTGCTTTGATTTTCCTTCAGGTCAGCTACACCTCAATGCAGTAAATAACACACTCCAATACGCAGATGACACGGCCTTGATATTGCATGGAAATACGCTGAATCAAACCATTACAGCACTACAAAATTAATATAACGAAGTTGCTCAATGGCTCAATAAACGGAGATTCAAAGTTAACCCACAAAAATGTCAATTAATGATACCCTATCATGATCTAAGACCGACATCACCTACACTCATCATATCTAACCAACCAATCTATCCCGTATCCTCAGTGAAATACCTAAGCCTTATTATTGATAATAAGCTGAACTTCAATGAACACAACCACAGACAAAAAAAAAAACAAAATCAAAACTAGAGCCAAACATTTCTGCTCTTTAACATACAAAAAAGAAGGTATCAACAACACGGCCACTAAAATCTACAAAACAATTTGCAGACCTCTCCTGGAATACGGTCACACTATATACTTAAACTGCCGAAAACCTGCATTAAAAAACATTCAAGTGGCCGAAACTTCTACACTAAGAATCATTACCATGATGCGACATACTGAAAACCACACTCACCATCCAGCGAATGAATATCTTTACGAAAAATCTAAGATTTAGCCTATCCTGGAAAGAATTAGAAAACTGTTAAAAAAATTCTCAAAGAAACGAAACAATCGCATGTTAATAAACATTTTTTCAATGCAACGTTAAATTGGTCAAGCAAAATTTAAATACCCAGTGATATCAATAACAGAAATCTTAAACGAATTTTCTGATAACAATAATTAATGACACATATTGTTGTTTTTTTTTTAAGTCTCTTAATATTCGTATTCAACTTACACATATAGCTTGTAAATCCTCATACAAACAATTATAAATTGTACTGGCTGAAGGACCTAGGTCGATGGCCATTTGATTGTAATATTCATAACCAATAAAGTGCTTTTATTATTATTATTTCATTCCTTCTAATTTATCTATCTAAAAGTAGGAGAAAGTTTCGAAAGTAAATTCTCTACATAATTTGGTGAATTCTATTTTATATAGTAGAAAGTGAAAAAATGTTCTCAATTTCAAGCACAGACACCCAGGTGATTTGTTTTAACTCCTTTATAATTTACTGAAAGACAAACAAAATATTGTAGCTAAAAAACCCAATTTTATTCCATTAATCTGTGTAGCAAAAGTATAGAATCGTAATAAAACAACTGTTATTTTTATCTAGAATCGATTTTTGAGTTTAATTTTCTTAATATTTAAGAAAACCACATTGGAGAAGTTGGACTTCTTCATTTTAGTTCCTACATTAACTTTAATTAGATATTATTTATCCTCAAACATTAAATATAAGTTTACATACGATATATTTAAAATATGGCATAAGCAATAATTATTAAAATATTACCTGTCGCCTCCTCTAGTAAGTAAATCTCCCATAGACTCCATGCTATTTGAGTTATAATCGTTAGACGTTGAAGTATAATCTGTCGTATTGCTAATAAGGCTTTCATCGCATGCTATTCCTTCTTCAATAGGAAGTCTGTTCTCGTTTCGGCAGTTACAGATATCAAGGTTGTTACGAGGTGCCGAGGTGTAATTCAACCACTGGTGCCACCAGTCAGACGATATTAGATACCAGAATTGTCCAACATGGTAACCTCTTCTTTGTTCTCGTTCTAGCCAACCCATCACTAAAATAATACAAAATTATATCAAACAAGGTAAGGTGAGATGTCTGTTGCAACAATAATACTTGTAAAATTGAAAACGCAATTCCTCAATATTGTTTATTAATATTTTCGCAATTAAAATGGTTATCACAAACCTATTTGCTTGAGCATATGGGTGAAAAACACTAATACTACAACATTTAGAGAAATGAGAAAGTCAAGAACCATAAGTTTCATTAATACATGGAAAAGAGAAAAACGACTCATAGTCTAATATAAGGTTGAGTTGCTTCGATTTAAACTTCATATTCAGTAAAGAAACAGTGACGAAAAGTGTACGAGTAGCCAGACTAGAAAAACTTGATTTTTCGTCCTTATAACATAAACTACTATTTTTACAACAAATGAAAAAAAAGTATCTGGGCACTTTGTTTGGTCCTTTGCCGATTTATAAATGACTGGTCAAACTTATCTTGATATCCTTGTAGTACCAAACATATTTGATATTGTTGAAGAGCTTATAAAGAAATCTATACAAACATACCATTTTGTTTAAGATTGAAAAAGTGTTTTCAATTTAAAATCTTTTTACACTATTTTTGTAAAGAATTATTTTTATTAAATATATTTCTTTTTAATTTATGAATTTATGAATTATGAATTATGTTACCATCGCACTCCCCACTACTTAAGTATTTGACGCGAGCAATTTGACAAATGAGCAATAAAATCTCTTTAACAATACATACCTATTTCATATTCATTATGACGGCAATGCGGCCTAAGCCCCAAAGATACATGACAAACTTGAAACAATAATTCCAGTAGAGGTGCCACCAGACTATTATTCTCAACGCTCCATACCAAAAAATCCTCCTGTGTCAAACCACCTTTATTATCTAATTTCGACTGTAGACGCGCCAATATTTCGTGATGCATATTTCCACTGCCATTATCCGTCTTTTGGCTAACGTCCGTTTCGGTGGCCAAATTCGTTTTGGCTGGCGATTCAGTGTAGAATTGTTGGAAATACGTCAATTTGTTTTCGTTCGCCACTAATATGAGGGTTTGGGTCATGTGATGAACTTCCTCAGTGTTTAAGTAAAGATCTCGATCCATATCGAAAATTTTGAAACAGACTGCAATAAAAAATAAGTAGAAGATAACGATAAAAAAAAAATAATAAATAAAATAAATTTTTTAATTCATTGTTTCTCCTAAATAAAAATAATTTTGTGACATTAATAATTATTATTAAAAAAGAATCGTTAAATCACATAAATATTTATCCAGTACGAATTAGGTAAATAGATTAGTTAAATAAATAGCATTGTGATTAAAAAATGATGGTATTGTTTACTCTTTTTGGCTCATTTAGTCCACGTGTCAAAAATCAGTAATATCACTGCTACTGCTATGTTACGAATTAATAATTAGATCAATAAATAAAAGTGTGAATGATAAAGTTCATCAAATAAATATTTTTTTACTTCTATGATAAAAAAATAGACTTTCTCAACTATTGTTGATTGCTAAATGAGGTACATTTCCTTATTTGATAATTCTGATAACACAAAGTAATTATTTCCGTATCAGATACTTACTAATAACACAAAGTAGTCATTCCCCAATTATTTTAATTAAATCATATTTGCATGAAATGTCAAAAATTAAATAATTATCTAGATTTTATAAATTATAAAAATTATTTAAAAATTACTAGCAGTGTGCTATAGTCATAAAAAAGCACAGAAGGAAGTATTTTGATGGTACAGGAACATTATAGTTTTAACTTTAAACAAAAATATTGTTAAAAAATCTACATTTTACTAGAAATTAAAACTGAAAATAATATAAATAAGGCAGGTCTGTGTATTTAATTATAAATAGAAGGGAAAAAATATTGTGGCTGTAGTAAATGGGGAATTATATATATATTTTTTTTAAATTTCAGAAATTGACAGCTATGTACATACAATATAGGTTCTGTTCATTGCTCTTTTTTTTTAATTCATAATTACGAGATTACGAGAAAATAAATTATTTTAGCCTTGGTTTTTATTTTGTATTGACTGAAACGATAGTACTCACGTATAAATGTATTTTTCTAAAAGCTTCGGCGTTATAAAATAAATCTTGTCATGAATTAAGTCAAAAAATTAAATGCCTAAAAACTAAACCTAACCTAACGACTATGAAGACTAGTCTTCATACTATAGTCTGAATAAAAAAGGAGTGCAGTAAAAGTGGGTATATAACGTCACATTCCATAGGCGTACCTTGCAAAATAAGTTTCTATAAAAAAAATAAGGTCATGGTATATATGTACTTCGTAGATTAAATTTTGAATGAGAAGAGTTATATTATATACAAAAACAAAACTTATGTTTCTAACAAAATTGTACTTTAACATCGAACGAATTAAATTTAACCAATAAATAACAAGGAGTGTTTTGTATGTTGTTAATGGGATTAAACTTACAAAATTGCGAATCAATTAGAATAGATACGATACCGCTATAAATAAATAAAGTCTGACTTATCTGTCAAAAGAAAAAAATATTACTGTAAAAACCATGGAAACATGATTAAATCTAAACGAAAACTTTTATTGGGTGGATCAGATGTATTAAATTTTAATTTTTACTACAAAAAAGCATTGAATATATAAAATATCTACCTCTTGAACCTATAATACGTTCTGCCAATTAAATTACTGCATTTCTTTGTTTTCTAGACTATATAATGAATAACATAATATACAGTATGCATATTATAATGCTCTATTGAATATATAACAGTTTTAAACTTTAGAAGGTTACAGTTCTAGTTTGATATGTGGCAACGCTGCCAAGTAATTGATGGATTTCGTAATAAATGTAATACCAATAAATAAAACGGGGTCATTCCTAGAAATCAGATTAGCTTACTTGACTCATTGTAGTAATTGTTGTAACAGAGTATTGGATTATGACCCCAAAATTGTAATAATGTGAACAACATTATTATTAGAATTAATAATTATTAAAATGATCAAGATTCACTCAATAAGGAGCAATATTTTGTCTAAGTAATTTGGATTTAATCTTCATATTTTGAGCACAAATTTTTACAGTTAGAATAATAAGATTTATTTCATAAGAAAAATAGTAATACACAGGTAAATTTAAACAATGGTAAAATAAACATGACTAATCACAGAAGCTCTAAATCTAGAGCTTGTTTGTGATGTATTTGTGGCTTATTTTAGTACATTCCTAATCTACATAATTCTACTGTTAAAAAAAAATCTCTTAAACATATCTAATTGATATCTTATGTACAGGTGCATCTAAGTATATAAAATAGACAACTAAATAAAATTTAAAAAAGTAAAAGGAACGGATAATATGGGGTAAGTACATATTTTTTAATTATTATTTACTATACGAGAATGGATCAATAAGTACCCGTGTTTAAAGACAGGTGGCGTTGCTGAGGGAAGTTGGCATTACTGTTGTGTACTGTCATCTGTCACACGACACCATATTAAATTTGAAACTGATTCATAGGTTGGTTTTTATTTGGCAGCCACTTGTACCATACATGTTTCGCATTAATCGATAAAATGGAAAAGAACAATATCGATCTGTTGATTTTTCCCTTAGATATAGGTCAGTTTCTGGATTGCAAGAAAACCTTAATTCCTTTTAGGCGGTCGTTTAAATAATTAAATTTAAATAACAAAAAAAAATCTGAAGAAGCCAATTCTTGGGAAAACGGAACACCGACGAACAAAATAACAAAATATTTCGATTTTTCAATGCGAACACTTCAGCGGTTCATACGGTACTCGTCTGTTAAAAATCCAAAAATGTCCTTTACAAACGCACAGATGTGCGCCGACGCGAGTGATTCCCAATATATGGCAACAAATAAATTAAACTGTTTTGATAAAAATATTAAGGGTCACTAGCATCCAATTAATTATGAGAAATATCAACATAAAATAATTATTATAAATTAAGGAAAAAACGCGTACATACCTAACATGATCCGTAATTCGCTTTTTATTTTTGGATGGAAAAACATGCGTTGAAATAAAAGCAAAGTTGGATGCTGTCTATGGGGACCCTTCACCATCTATGACAACCGTAAGATATTGGTTCAACGAATTTAAACGTGGTCGTACATCTGTTTTTGATGAGGAACGACCAGGTCGCCCGGCAGACGCTGTTACCGAGAAAATCGTTAAAAAGGCCCAAGACATGATTGTCGCAGATCGCCGAACGAAAGTGCGACAAGTAGCAGAGGCCGTAGGCGTATCATACGGAACGGCAATTAATATTTTGCATGATAAGTTAAACATGAGAAAGGTATCGGCCCGATGGGTGACGCGATTGCTTATGGTGGACAACAAGTGAATACGGCTGTCAATGTCGAAGCAGTGTTTGGAGCTTTTTAATCTAAATTCGCAGGAGTTTTTGAGTCAAGTCGTCACCGTTGATGAAACCTGGATACATTATTATACGCCAGAGACCAAACGACAGTCGAAGCAATGGATTTTTCGGAGTGAATCTGCTTCGAAGAAAGCAAAGACAATCCCATCGGCCGGAAAGATCATGGCCACGATTTTTTGGGATTCCAAGGGAATAATCGTCATCGACTTTTTTGCAAAAAGAAAGTACGATCACAAGGCACTAATATAGTGAATTATTGGACCGATTCGATGCAAAATTGAAGGAAACATAGCCTCATTTGGCTAAGAAAAAAGTCCTGTTTCACCACGATAACGCACCAGCACATTCATCGAGAATTGTCGCGGTCAAATTGCAAGAACTGCAATACGAATTGCTGCCGCGCCCAACTTGGCTCCTTGCGACTTTTTTTCTATTCCCCAACACGAAAACGTAAATCGGGGGAAAAAATTCAGCTCTAACGAGGTTATCGTCGAGACTGAAGCGTATTTTGCGGAGTTCGACAAATCATATTTTTTGGAGGGGTTAAATAAATGGCAGAAACGTTGGGAAAAGTGTATAGCACTAAAAGGAGATTACGTTGAAAAATAGAAATTTTTTTTTTTGAAAAACTTGCCTCTTCTTTTCTAACACGGGTACTTTTTGATCCACCCTCGCATTACTAAAAAAAATTCTATCAGTACTAAAAATGCATATTTTAAGCATAATTTAAATTGATTTTATTAATTTATGTTTTTAAAATTAAATAATTTGGGGACTATATAAACAATACTACGTTATTTTATGATCTTTTCACATATGGGAATTTTTAAGCTTTGATCTCGCCTAAGTGTGTTGTAATGAAGCGTAATGAGTTCAATTTTATTTTGGTAGATAGCTAAAAGTATTCTTTGATAGTAAAGTTGTATCAAATCGAGAATTAGACTAATACTAAAGAGCTGGCCACTAGGAAATGTAAGCATTTTATTATAAATAATTTTTATTATCCGTTTCTGTAGTAAAATGATTTTTTCCAGGCAGTTGACAAACACACCTCCCCAACCTAGTATTCTAAAAGACAGCTGAGGCTGAACTAGTGCAAAATAGTTTTTAAATGAGATGTACCTAAAAATTCTCTTAGAAATTTAAACCTACTAATTAGACCTCTTAATTTTTTAGTAACATGGTTAATTTGCAAATTCCAGCGTCGATGCTCGTCAATAATTATCCTGAGATGTGTGGTGTATGAAACTTCCGGTATTTGTGTTTTATTATCTATTATTAAGTTTCCCATATTGGGTAAGCTATTGGAGTAAGATGTAAATCGTAAATAATAAGTTTTTTTCCAGATTTAATGTCAATTTATCACACTCTAACCACTTTATAATTGTACTGATATCTAGTTCTACTATACATTTTAGGTTTGGCCAAGTGTCTGACTTATAGAATATTGCAGTGTCATCAGCAAAGCTCGTGTTGGTGCCCTTTAAGAGTCCATTTCTAATAAACTGTTAACATATATAGTAAAAAGCAAAGGACCTAAAACTGTTCCTTGTGGCACACCATAAGTTACCGCTCTCGGTTCGCTATCGATAATCACTTGCTGGGTTCTATCCTTTAAATAACTTGCCAATAAATTAAGTATTTTACCCCGAAGTCCATAACATTCTAATTTTCTTAATAATATTTCATGTGAAACAGTATCAAAGGCTTTAGATAGATCAACGAAAATACTTAGTGCAGGCATTTTTAAATCCATAGCCACACACACAAAAGACATCTTTGGTTGATTTTCCCTCTCTAAAGCCGATTTGATTGTTTGAAATTACTTTGTATTTAGTTAATAATTTCAGAATTCTGATTTTTAAGATTTTTTTCTATAATTTTAGACACAGTTGAAATCAGAGATATAGGTCGATCAATATCTACTTCTGACTTAGATCCAGACTTAAATAAAGGTTTTATTCAACAAATCTTCAAACAGTTTGGATAGTAACTCTTTTCAAAGCAAATGTTAATTAATTTTGACAACGGTTTACAAATTAGGTCCGATATTTCTTTTAATGTTTCTAATTACCACTACCTGATATTTTTTTATTTTTAAGAGATTTTATGACATCCTCTACCTCAATCTCATGTGTAAAACATAAATAAAAAGTATTTTCTTCAAAATTTACAGGTGGTCTTAGCGTGTTTCCCCAATTTCACTAAAAAATGTATTAAATTCGTTTGTTATGGACAGTGTATCAATTATAGTTTTTCATTATTTTTTATTAATTGCTGTTATTTTTATTTCAGATTTACTCTCACCTCATATTAATTTACACATGTCCACATATTCTGTGATGAATTTTGATTTTGCTCAATCACTCGTTTAGCAGTCTTTTTAGACTTTTGTATTAGTTTAATGAATTTATTTTTATTATTTTTGTAATTTTGTTCTAAAATACGATTAGCTGGATTTTTTTGCAGTTCTTTGTATAATCTATTTTTTTGTAACTGAATTTAATAAATCATTAGTGATCCACTGCTTTTTAATTCTCATACTTTTAGCTACCTTTACAAGATTAGTGTCTGTTTCATTATGTTTAGAGTAAGCGCCAATAATTCCCGGCCTGACATAGTTGCAGATATTTTATCAGGATAAACGTTTAACATTTTATAACTACAAACCTTAGTAGGCTGTGGTAACAAAATAAGCGACTTACGTCAAATAGTTTTTAATTGTCAGCATTTTGAACTAAAGTATCTCCGAAAATGTCTCAGGTGACGAAAATTGAGTACAGAGCGGTTATTAAATTTTTAACAAAAGAAGGGCTTACACCTAAAATTATTAAAGAAAGACTCGATGGCGTATATGGCCAAAGTTCCCCTTCCTATTCGGTAGTGAAGGAATGGGCAATACGTTTTCGCATGGGTCAGGAATTCCTTGAAGATGACGAAAGACCTGGACGGCCAGTGGAGGTGATAACGAAGGACAAAGTGGCCCTTGTGGAAAACCTGGTGCTAAGTGACCGACGTTTGAAGCTCAATTAAATGTCAGAAATGACCAAGCTTTCTGATACCACTGTTCGCCGAATCCTCCATGATCATTTGGGTATGCATAAGGTTAGTGTAAGATGGGTGCCCAAACACCTTTCGGCGATTCAGAAGCAACATCGTGTCAAGTGTGCTCGATCGTTTTTGGAACTGTGTGGAGATGATCCGCACCCCGTGTTGGAAACAATAGTCACTGGAGATGAAACTATGGTTCTTTATTATGATCCTCTGTCGAAAAGGGAATCAATGGAGTGGCGTCGTAAGGGTGAAACCCCCTCACGAAAATTTAGAGTCTGCCAATCAACGAAAAAGGTGATGGCTACGATCTTTTGGGATTGTGAAGGAATCCTTCTGATTGATTTTAAAGAGACAAATACCACCGTTAATGGCACATATTATGCCGCATTACTTCATAAGTTGCGGGAATGTATTCGGGAAAAACGTCGAGGAAAATTAACCAGAGGCGTGCGGTTGTTGCATGACAATGCACCCGTTCATACTGCTGGCGTTACACAAGCTGCCATCCTAGATTGCGGGTTTCAAAATATAGATCACCCTCCTTATAGTCCAGATATGGCTCCCAGCGATTATTATTTGTTTAGTTATTTGAAAAAGGACCTTCGCGGGCGACGTTTTCAGGACGATTTTGAGTTACAAGAAGCTGTTATTTTGAGGATAAACCGAAAGAATATTTAAAGGGACTGAATTGTTAATTAAACGTTGTAAGAAGTGCATTGATTGAGGTTAAGGGAGATTACATTGAAAAATAATAAAAACTTGTTGTACTTTGCCTCCTTCATTGTCAGGCCGGGAATTATTGACGCTCTGTATAATTTTATTTCATATAAAAAAACAAACAAATTCTGGAAAATGTTTCTCCTGATTAAGTTTATTGTGACATCCTACATAATATTTATTTATACAATATTTGTTTTATCTTGATAACATCCATTATATGTACATGCAAAGTATCCCTTCAATTATATAGATACATTATTTGTATTTTTTTTTCTATTTTTAATTTACTCCATACGATATAAATTGTGTATTTAAACGGAGGTATTGTCTGATAGCATTACAAAAGTTCGTAAACAACGTGTGAGATTACATTATTATTACGTTACGTACAATTATTAATGAATTTAAATCATAGTGATAAAAAAGCAAAAGTATTGAAAGAACCCAGACGATGTCAAAGTTTATACATTTGAAATCTTTACGAAGTTACCAGTAAATGTGAAAATTATACAATCATTAATTATTAGCAATAAAAGTTTAATAACAACGAAATAAAAAAAAAAGTAATTGCTTTTTGTTCAAAAAAGAAACTATCACCATAAATTAGATTATTCTTTCTTAAACAAAAACTGTAATAAAGTATAATTTTGGAAATAATGATAGTGATCTATAAATTATATTTCATAAACACTTACATTTCATTCTTTCTACCATCGGTCCTCTACAAGCAGCTGAAATACCACAACACAGTTCTTTAAAATCAACATGATCATCTCTGTTAACATCTAAAGCCAGAAACAACCTAAAACAAGTATTACTTTTTACTTAAAAAGTTTAATTTAGATATAAGTGGTCCTATTAATTATATGACAATTATTATTACTTTCTACAAACTCATTTCAATCTTTTAAAGTTAAATAGAAAAATAAATACATTAGTAAATAAGTAGAAAGAACTTGTAATGTCAAATATAAACAGAGACCAATACATAAAAATAAAATTACCTACCCTCTACATGCCTTTAAAGGTACTGGAGGACATACACGAGATTTTAAGCAATTAAAATCAAGGTTTGATGAAGAAGAGGACGCTTGTAAGGCCCAGAAACATTTTTCCAATTCGCATATATCCTGTTCTTCCAGATGAGTAACACCGGCAAGTGTTTGATAAAATGTTGGGGTTTCTAGTTCGGAACTGAGAGATACACAGGGATTTGAAAGAAGCCTGAAATAATTAAATAGCTATTAGTTTTCACAGATATCTTGCACTTTTCCCGTTTTTAAATTCAGTTTTAACCGGTTTTAACAGTAAGTTTGATGTTGAATTAGACCATCCTGTAAATGTAATGTTTTTCCCCAAACATTTTTTTTTTAAACATTTTTTGGAGACTGGAAAATAATGTTTTGAGTCCATGTCCAAAAAAGTGATATTTTAGTAAAAAAACACCATTCAGAAATTTATTTTTTATCTGACGAATTTATTTTTAACTCAATTGGTAAAATTGCTTATTCGAGGCTATTAGAATATTATTTTACAGTTCATGGACCATTTTTTTTTGGGAAAAATGAAAATTTGCAACACTGTTATATGTAAAAGATAAAATATACAGCGTGATCCATTTAAAAAATCAAACTTAATAGCATTGTCTAGTATGTCTAGTAGGTTTGTCACAAATTTAATACAAATCGCATGATAAATAAAAGAAATATTAACGTAGCACTGGTCTCATTGTCACCTGGAGCGCATTCAGATGATTTTACACAGGAGTAGACTAATTTTTTTAGATCATTTGCCCAGACTAGTATAGAGTAATTTGCTTCTTCCTTTTGATAATAGTAACTTGGGTTCCATAGATTTGACAGGTTTAAATAATTTAACTGTTCCTCCTTTTGATAACGTATCTATCACACCCACAGTTAATAAGGATTTTCCCACAAAGTCTCAAACTTAAGATCCAAATTAAAAAGTACAATATATATTATATTTAAATGCTGGGAGCCCACATTGATGAAATCTCTAATTATGTGGTGTCAAAAAAATCAAGTTTAGTATGTGTTTTTGAAACTTGCTCGACTGAGGATATTTATGATTCAGAAATAGACATTGACGGATACAAAAATTATAGAGTTGACAGTGAAAATAGACACACAGGGGGTGCTTTAATTTATGTACAAAGTGAACTGAAGGTTTTAAAATATTTTAAATTTTATATTCCAAAAATTTGTTGGATTGTTTCTGTGATGGTAATTTTTTTTAATTGTATCGTTATATAGGTCACCTAGCAGTAGCTGTATAAATTTTTTAGATTGCTTTAGCACTTGGGCTGAAGAACATTTATGTGATAATTATCAAATAGTTATTGTTTCTGGAAATTTTAATATTGACCTGTTAACTAAAAACACTAACAGTGCGAAATTAAGTGATATTTTGAATGATACTGGATTAAAAATTATTGTTACAGAATGCACAAGACCAAATAGAAGTGGTGGAGGTACACTAATAGATTTAGTTATAACAAATAATGACTCAGTTTCAGCTGAGGTTATCAAAATACCAAGAATTTCAGATCATTTTATGCTTTTAACAAATGTGCTATTAAATAGTGATCTGTTTTTGAAATTGAAAGCAGAGGTAAGGACTTAAATTTTGATTTAATTAATAAACTTTCAATATTAGCATGGAACTATCATATTTATGACATTAATGGAAAATATGATAATTTTGTAACAAATATTTTAAACGTATTATATTCTGTAGCGCCAAAAAACCAATAAAAATGTTTCCTAAATATAAAAAATGGTGGAATGAAAATGTAAAAGCTGCCACAAGGTACAGAGACCTTGCATATAAAAATTATTCACAAGAAAAAAAAAACAGAAAATAATTGGAATGAATACAAAATGCGTAGAAATAGGGCCGTTAACGTAATTAGAACAGAAAAAAGTAAATACATAGAGAAAAATATTTACGAAAGTAGGGGAAATTCAAAGGAAATGTGGAAATATCTTGAATGTCTGATTCCAAAAAAATAATAAGTCGAATAACTTAATTGAACTTGAACTAGAAAATAATGTTATTATAAAAAATATTTTTGACATGTCAAATGCTCTTAATAAATTTTACATAGACCAATCGATTGCTAGTATGATTGATCATACAATACCAGAATATCAAATTTTAGACAGACACAATGGACATTTTCTTGGAAAATTTGAATTATGTACGGTGGATTCTTTAAGAGATATTCTTTTTGCAATGAAAAATAAAAGTAGCACAGATGACATTAATATTAATATTTTAAAAATTTGATAAATTTGTCATTAGAAATTTCAAAAATACCTAATGCTCTAAAAATTGCTATGATAGTGCCTGTTCCAAAGACAAAAAACGCAAATAAAGCTACAGATTTTAGGCCTATTAGTATGTTAAGTTGTATCGAAAAAATCATTGAGAAGGTCGTTTATGAACAAATTGTTAATTTTTTAGAACAAAATAAACTTATTACTAGAATACAATCGGGCTTCAGAAGCAAACATAACTGTGAATCAGCTATCCAGTGTGTTTTATATGATTGGAAATATAAATTTGATAAAAACTATCTAACATTGGCAGTTTTTATAGATATTCAAAGGGCATTCGAGACTGTTGATCAAAACCGTTTGATAAAAAACCTGAAAAGTATGGGTATAGTAGAGCAAGCATTGGAGTGGTGTGTGGATTATCTAAGTAAGAGGAAAGTTAAAAGTAAATAACATTTTGTCAGAGGAAATTAACTATATCAGAGGTGTTCCACAGGGAAGTATATTGGGTCCCCTGTTGTTTTTAGTGTATATCAATGACATTGTTGATTTCAAGGGTTAATGTGACATTCACCTGTTTGCTGATGATGCCCTAATATATTTTTCTTATAAGGATTCGGATAACTTGGTAAGAGATGATAATGAAACACTGCAACATGTTTATAAATGGTGTTGCAATAATTTGTTGAAAATTAACACAAATACAACAAAATGTATTCTGATAAGTAGCAACTATAACTATACACAGTTTGTTGATAAACAATATAACAACAATTAGAGGAAATTCTATACAGTTAGTAGAAAATACTTAGGGGTAATGATTGACAAGCAGATGAGATTCATAGATCATGCCAACACTGTTATCAAAACTATTGCATGTAAGTTAAATTTCCTATTTAGAAGTTCATTTGGCTTATCATAGTGGAATAAATGTATTATATATAATACTATAATTCTACCTCACTTTAATTATTGCTCTACTATACTCATTTTTCTAAATCAAAGTGAGTTGAACCGACTACATAAGCTGCAGAATAGGGCTATGCGAATAATATTATCCTTTTCAAAATACTTCCATTAATCGTATGCTTGAAACTTTGAGGTGGATGCCAATCAAAAGTCTCTTTTTACGGAATGCGTTAATTTTTATTTATAAAATCAAACACGGTTTACTTCCAATGTACCTAAAAGAGAAGCTTAATTATCACTCGAAAATGCACAATTATCCAATGCGGAACAAAAATAACTTTTATATTGAAACAGTTGTTAAGAGTGCAACACAAAATTCACTATTTTTTAAAGGTCTAAATCAATATAATGCCCTTCCAGAGAAAATTAAATCAGTAACGTCTGTAACTACATTTAAAGTCAAAGTGATAGATTTCTTAATTGATGAATATTTCTCCAGAAACAGTAACAACCTATAGAATTTTAGTTAATTTAATTGTATCTAAATTGTCTATGTTTTGACTTATATGTATATGTTTATTTTTACTAAATTTGTATATGGTGATATTAGCAAACTAGCTAAATAAAGGAAATAATAATTGGTCCAAAATTTCTGAACAGCAACGAAAGTAAACGTCAACGAATTTGAAAATTAAATTTTTTTACAGTTATAATGTTCGATGTTCCCGTTGTTAATCGTGTTTCGTAGAGTTTTACTTTTTACTTTTTGATGATACTATAACTAATAAACCCATGTAATACTGGTACCATCTTAGTCCTATTTTATTATTAAATACCTAAGTAAGTCTCCAAATTAGGTGTATTTACTCATTAAAGCCTCAAAAAACTATTGTTTCTTATGTTTTTTGAAATAATTCACACCATAATCGAGTGAGTAGTCAAAGGTTTTCAGTGAGCTACATCTTGACCTCGAAGCCGTTACAAATTTTCGGTGCATTTTTAAAAGGTGGTTATAATTGACAGTTTTTTAGTTACTTATTTAAACAACAATTTTTTATTTAAAATTTTATATATATATAAAAAAAAAATTTCAAAATGTAGTAAAATGTTTAAGGCATGTTAATGTAATACATAATCTGAAATGATATTGTAATTCGTGACATTTTAATTTACCAAAGGAAAAGGTAGGTTTTAGTTTAAAATGCCAGGTAAAAAATTAAAAGAAATAAAACATGGAACTTACCATTTCGATAAAACGGTAGCTTCCTTGTTGTATATGATCCATGCTCTGAAGTCTTCAAAACTGACTTTATCTTGATTACTAAATAACGAATTGACAGTTCGATCCCACGATGTCACTTTTGGAGACTTATCCGAAGGTGGAAAGCCACCTTCAATTTGTAAAGCACTTTTAAATTCATTTTTAGAAATGTGAGTAACCGAGTCACTGCAATAGAGAGACCATAGGAATCTAAAATGGAAATAAAAAAAAACATTTTATTCAATGAGTATTACATATTTTAATTGTAGATAGAAACAATATACAGTGTCTCGAATAAATATATGGACTAAACTAAACAACTTTTTATTGTATTTTTTACAGAAAATTTTACGTCTGAACCCGTATAAAAAGTAGGGTAGTAGTAAATAACCTTGAACTCCTAACGTGTTTGTCTTTGGTCTTTGCCTTTTATCATTTTAATTTGCAAATTAAAAGTTTAATGTACCTAGTTATTTGATTTTATTAATGGTAAATATTGAACTTCTTTATTTGTTTATTCAACATACAACAATTTGAGCTGCGTCCAGGCCGTTGGAGTCTACGAGAAGTCGTTGCTTCGTCTTTTTGTTGTATATTTTCTTCTTCTAATTCTATATCATT